CAAGCTGCCTACGACCAGGCCATGTTGAAAGAGAAGTTGGCGCACCAGATAAAGGAGGCGACGGAATATACACGGCTGTTCCAGACAGTTTCCGACTTCATCCCCAATGGCTTCTCGATTGGCGACCACCAAGGAAACATCACCTTTGCAAACGGCCTTTGGTACCGCATAACAGGATATCCTGATGCAACAGCCGAGAACGGAGGTTCCTTCTCATGTGTGTTAGAGGAAGACCGAGAGAAGATCCGTGAGGCGTACAAAGAGCTGCAAACCAAAGATGAAGTCGAATTCCAATTCCGTGTGCGCGGATCTGAGAATACCAATAACATGTTAACACGGAGGTCCCCTTTCAAAGCCGACCTGTACGGCGACCTGGACGACAAGATGGAACGATACGTCATGGCCCAGGCGAAGGCGGAACGAGCCATGGATGGAACTATCATCCGAACCTTTACCTGCCTTACGGACATCACCGCTCACCAAAGAACCGCCAACGAAGCGACCCGACGAGCCCAGCAGGCGGAGAACTTGAAGAGAATGGCTGAACTTGCCACTGTTGGGATGTTTGACATGGATACCGGAGGGCGTCTCCTCGGCGCCAACAACGTCTTCTTCGAATTGTGTGGCATGAGCAAGGTAGATCCCATGGAGCATGAGGTGCGGCCGTGGGAGGTTTCGGTGGTCAAAGACGACCTTCCGTATCTGAGCGAGAGCGTAGCCCGGCTTGTGTCCGAGAAGAAGCCCCAGACAGCTGAGATCCGTCTGAAAACCACCTGGACAGCTGAGGATGCTGTGGGGAACCAGATCACGGCGCCTAGATGGGTCAACGCCACGCTCATGCCGGTCTGCAGCTCGGATGGCGTCGTCCAGTCATTCACTGGCTGTGTCAGCGATGTCTCTTTGCAGAAGTGGCAGTTGGAACTGGAGACTAAACGGACCGAGGAGGCCATCGACTCGAAGCGGCAGCAAGACAACTTTATCGACATGACGTCCCACGAAATGCGAAATCCGCTCAGTGCCATCATCCATTGCTCCGACGCCATCATTGCCTCTCTTGCGAGGTGCGAGGAACTCGTCAACCGGCCACTCAGTCCGACGACACTCAGAATACCTGACGAAAACAGCGACAAACACTTTGATGTAAAGCAGCTCCTTGCGGATAGTATCGAGAACGCCGAGACCATTGTGGCCTGTGCGCAGCATCAGAAACGCATCGTGGACGACATTCTGACCATGTCCAAGTTGGATTCCAAACTCTTGGCCGTCACCCCCTGCACAGTCGACCCGGTGCAGATTGGAGAAGAGGCCATCAAGATGTTCGACGTGGAGGCACGCCGTGTGGACATTGACCTGAAGATGACTGTCGATAAGTCTTACAAAGAATTGGGACACGTCTATCTCGATCTTGATCCATCTCGTGTCAAGCAGGTGCTCATCAATCTGCTGACCAACGCCCTCAAGTTCACCAAATCCGGATCCATCAGGAACGTCTCGGTCTGTATGAAAGCATCTCGGGAACGACCAACGGACGAGACATCTCCCGTGACGTTCATCCCCCGATCCTGCAAGGAGGAGTTCGAGTACGAGCAGCCTGCGCTCGACATGCGCAAGGACCCAGTGTACATCATGTTCGAGGTCAAGGATACTGGTCAGGGTCTGTCTGAAGACGAGAAATCCAACCTCTTCAACAGGTTTGTGCAGGCGAGTTCGCGTACCCATGTGAAGTATGGCGGCTCGGGACTCGGGCTGTTCATCTCGCGGCGCTTGACAGAGCTGCAGAAGGGAGCCATTGGCGTGGCCAGCTTGCCCGGGGTAGGCTCCACGTTCGCCTTTTTCATCGAGGCATACGTGCCGACCGAAGCGTCACTGAAAGAGGCCGAGTCTGCGGCCGCGGCCGCAAGCATGGCGACTTTGGATACCGCGGCCAATACCCCGCTGAGTGTCCCCCGGGTGAGAGCCCCCACGAACGGGCGGAGAACACCTGGCTCGCGGCCGAAACCCCAAGTTTCCAACCCCCGGCTCGACGGCATCCTGATCGTGGAGGATAACCTTATCAACCAGCAAATCACCCGCCGGGGTCTGCAGGATAGGGGATTCACCGTCGACGTGGCCAATCACGGAGTCGAGGCCCTGGAGAGACTCATGCGGTCCATGTCTCTGCAACACGAGGAGGAGGGTTACTTTGCCCATAGCGCTGCAGATACTCAGGCGCTTCCTCCCGTAGCCATCAATCTGATCCTCATGGACATCGAGATGCCGGTGCAGGACGGTCTAACGTGCACACGGCGGATCCGAGAGCTGGAGCGGGAAGGGAGGGTGTTTTGTGCCAGCGGTGGAAGAATTCCCATTATCGCCGTTAGCGCCAACGCAAGGCCGGAGCAGATGCAAGACGCCAAGAAAGCGGGATGCGACGACGTGCTTGTCAAACCCTATCGGATGCCGGAGCTGATCGAGAAGATGCAAATGGTCGTTCGGCGGGTCGGGGGTCTGTCACCCGGCTCGCCTATGGGGGGCTGACGGTGGAACCACTAGAAGGTAGTGGAGGGGAGACGGGATCTGCCACTCAGAAAACCAAGGGCTGGTGATGATGTAAAGGCGAATACGGCGTATAGGTAAAGGGAACCCCGGCGGGACTAGGCTTGGGGACGGGGACTGCTTCCGGGCATTGGCTTGGTTACAGCTTTTCTATGTCATGAGATGGTTGCTTGTCAGGAGTAGGAACAAAGATACCAAATCTAGCTCGGTTGCCAAGACAGAACCCCCCCCCCCCAGCGTTGGATGGCGCACACGCAGGAGGGGCTTGCCGTAGAACGATGGTAGGTGGCGAACACCGGCCACGCCTCTGGTGTTGCAACGGGTGGGAGGAAGATGATATCACATAAAACGGCAAGATCGACTCTTTGCCAAAGCAATACAGACGCCCACCGGCCATTAAGAGCGGGGGCCAACGACATGGATGACAGGACGGAATAATACCAGAACGACCTAATCTGATGTTCCCATGCCTCAGACCTCATGCTTGCGAGTGATGTCTTGTCCTGCGTGTGGTGTAGCCAAGCCACCAGGCCGGGCCGGACCAGTATTGTTCGAGGGTTGAGTGGTTGACGAGCTGGTCACTACTGCGGTGGTGATTTGGCTGGTTAGAAACCCGCGCCTGCTCCCCGAGGCTTGTTCTGTCGAGCTTTCCCAACGTCAAATGGGCAGGGAGGGTTGGTGGGCGGTGACTGTATAAGTGGCTAGACTCTGACGAGAAGGAAAAAGAAGACGAGCACCGGTTGCCGTGATGTGTTCGTCGGGTGAGGTTGCACACGAGAGCTGGCCTCCGCGCGCCCCGAGGATGTCGATGGGAAAGTGTGAGGTACGTGTGGTGCACGTCAGAGGAGACGAAGAGACTGGTGATCCTTTTCGTTCACTCGGCTCGTCTTGCCACTTCAGCCCTACCCCTCCTGTTGTTTGTGAGACGGCTCGGGTAGCGCAGCCCGGCTTCTCGGACGGTGGAAATTTCTGGTGAGCAAGACAGACGGGGGTGTGGACACCCGGCATGTGAGATGATGGACCGTCTCATATGCGACATTGCAATGGCCCCGCGGGCGACAACGTTTTGCTCAGACGATTCCGGGAGAGGGAAGGGAAGGGGAGGGGGGTGAGCGGTGTTCTGCCGCGCCTTGCACGGCGACTTTTGACATGCGATAACCCCAAGCTTTACTTGCTATCCGTACCTCGGAGCGGCTTGATTGACGAGCTTTCGTTCGGACGATGGCTTTCATCACGCCCCCCGCTCTCTCCCCTGTCTTCTCCCCCTGGCAAGGCGGATGAAAGGGAGGGGAGGTCCGTGACTCGCCCGTCCGCTCTGCGGTATGCGGTAATTTTCCGGGGGCTCGGGTGCTGTCAGCCCAGGGCTGGCGGGCGTGAATGGGCGGAGCTCCTGTCTCGGACTTGCGGGAGGCACACAAAAAGAAAAGGAAAGGGGGGGGAACGGTAGAGGGAGGAATGTACTGCAAAGGGCGTTATGTAAATCCTTCGGCAGTCGTTTGTTTTACTACCGAAAAAGCCCCGCGCCGTGGTGCTATCGGAGGTGGATGGGGTGGGGTGGTATTCCTACCGATACATCGGTAAGTGAAATCGGGTCCGTCCATCCAGGTCGGCAACTCGGATTGCCTAGGTATAGTTGGCTATCGCCTTGTTTGACCTTGCCGAAGATTCACCGGACTTGGATATCGCGACACGTTTCTTGAGGAGCCCCCCCCCGCCTTTCCCCATACAAACAAATCGTTACGAGGAGAGTTGTCCAAGTCATGGCCCTTGTTTCAGCCCGGCAGAAAGTCACGGTTATGTAGGTAGGCAGCCCGTAGGTCTGTAGTAAGCTACAGAGTTCTACAAAGGCAAACTCAGACCGTTACGGAGAATAGTGACTACCCAATTGGCCCAGTAGATGGTAGAGTCAGTTTCTGACCAAGATTTCCGGCCACAGTGATCCAACTTGTTGCGTTACCCAAGGGCGTTTGTCCTTGTACTAGGTAAGGTACCTAAGGAAGGGTAGGTAGGCGCCAAGCACAGCTCCTGCATGGCGCCCCCCGTCCGAGGGCTACTGCAGCGCCTGCGGTAAGAACACCATGCGCCCTCCATCTCCAGCCGAGCGCCTGCATGGAAATCGGGGTCGGACACTGAGCTGCAAGCCTACGGACCGACCTAGACCTCCCCTTTCCCCCTCCGAATATAAACTCTCCCGCTCGCTCCCCGTCGCTCCGTCGGTTTCTCCCTTTTCTTTCACTTCTTCCGTCCTTCTTCCCTTCCCGATTTGCTGCTGTTGCTGCTCTTTCTCGCACACTCTTAACGTTTATACATCAACAGCGCCCCGCTGCTCGCGAGTCCCATCACTGCCATCGAACCCTCCTCCGGCTTCGGAACCCCGCGCGTGCACATCAGCTATTCGCCAACCCCCCCCCCCCCCCCCCCCGCTCTCGGACTCCCGATCACAAACCATCACAACCACCGACAAAATGGCGGGCCGCATCCATCGCGTCACCATGTTCAAGATTGTCGACGAGGGGCAGCAGAAGCAGATGATTGAGCAGTACAAGGCCATACAGAGTGCGGAGAAGGTAAGTCCCTGTGAGCGGACTATTCTGACCCCCTTCCTCTCTCCCCCCCCCCCCCCCCCCCCCCACTTCCCCCCCCATTGGCACCGGCTTGGTGGGGGGTATCTAATCGGCGAGAGTGCCGGCGTCCCGGTTCAGAGCGTGGATCCCATCGGGTATATCCCCTCCGTGTCTCGGCCCCACCGTCAGCCATCAAGAACGTCGAGAGACGCGCTCTTTCGCCGAACCTGTAGTCGGATCTGCCAACAGTGAGAAAAATATCACTGTAAAAAGAACCAAATAGACTGACCTTCCGCCCGTCGCAGGACGGAAAGCCCTACATCCTCAGCCTGGTCGTCGGCCACGCCGCCGAAGACCCGCGCGCCCAGGGCTTCACCGTCGTCTCCAAGTCCGAGTTCGCCTCGCTCGAGGACATGAAGTACTACGACGATGAATGCGCCGCCCACGCCGCCCTCAAGGCCTACGTAAAGGAGAACATCACCGTCTCCGGCTTCATGTCCGTCTACTTTGAGCCCGCATTCATCGCCTAATTGTGTGTAAGGGCGGGCAGGCGGGCAGGCGGGCGGTCGAGCCACAGGTCGTCCGATGTCAGGGGTGGAGGAAGGGAAAAGGTCCACCGGACCGATCTTCCACGGGGGAGGGGAGGGTCTGTGGTGAACAAATAGTTTGAAGCATTTGAGACAAAATCAGGGCGAGCTGCGCGGCACCGCTCCGCACCCTTTTTGTTGTGGTGGGAGGCATTCTCCTCCCTCAGTTGCATTGTTTTTTATTTTTTGTATAAAGAAATGTCAAATAAACTCCTTGTTGCCGGTTGCGGACAGGTATCAAGCTACGTTGGATACATAGGAACCCCTTTCCTAGGAAAACGACCATCGTTCAGCCCCGTCCTCCTTCCCCCCGCCTTTGCATCCTCGTCTCAACCTTTCCTACCCTCCCCATCTTTTTTTTTTAGCCACTTCGTTTTCGTATTGTGTGAATGATGAGCCCTTTTGAAACAACAAGAAAAAAACCACAGACACAACTGAGGAATGACAAGACCCATTCGAATCCATAGGGACCTTACCAGCGCACGGGCGCGTACGCGAGCGTCACGCAGATCACGAGGCAGCGGCGACGGCGGGCGCGGGAGCCGGTGCAGCCGCCGGGGTGGTCGCCGGAGCAGTCGTGGCGGCGGCGGCGGCGGCAACAGCGGCAGGGTCCGAGGGCGCCGTTCCCTCGAGGTGGTTCTTGAGTCCGTCCATCCAGGCGGCGAAGCCGGTCTCGAGCTGGTTGACCATGGTGAAACGCAGGACCTGGGCGAGGGGACCGTAAAAGGTTTCCCAGCAGCGGTACTCGGTGCCGTTGCCGTCCTCGGTCTCGAGGAACTCCTGGACGCGCTCCGACTTGAGGACGAAGGGGGGCACGAGGCCGCCCGTCTTCCAGCAGACGCGGTAGCCCTTGCGGCCGCGGTGGGTCTCGCCGTTGGCCTCGGCGGCGGCGCGGGTGAACTCCTCGAGCTTGGTGACGACGAGGGCCTGTTTGGTCGTCGTCTTGGCCGGGTCGAGCGTCAGGTGCACCTCAAAGGTGACGTGGGTGCCCTCGAGGAGAAGCTCGCCGGGCTGGAGCTTGGCGACGGAGGGCTCGCCTGCAAGCATGGGCGGGATGGCGAGGCCCGAGGGGCGAGAGATGGTGGCGCGCGGGACGAAGGTGTTCCAGGTCGGGTAGGTGGCCGGGTTGAGGACGGTGGAGAGGACGGTGGTGGGCTTGGCGGCGATGGGCGCCGCGCAGGCGATGGTCAGGACGGCGCCGAGGTCGCCGTGAGACGGGGTCGCGAGGGGTGGCGACACGGGCGTGGGCGTGAGGGAGGTGGGGATGGAATCGGAGCCCTTGTCGAGCGCCTTTGGCGACTTCGGCTTGAGCTGTTCGGGGAGCTGCTTGATGGAGTCGGGGATCTGGATCTTCTGGCGAATGGCCTCCATGGTGCCGGGTATAAAATAAAAAATAAAATGAGGCGGTATGGGTATTTTGGGGGTATCTCTGGGTATAATAGGGCGTGATGAAGATGTTAATGTTAATGGACGGTTGATTTAGATTGATGAGAGAGAGGGAGGGTATATGAGGGAGGAGCTCGGAAGAAAAAGTGGCTGAGTGTGTGCGCGTGCGTGCGTGCGTGTGTGCGAAGTAGGGCGGTCGAAGAAAGGGAAAAGGGAAACAGGAGCGATTCAGGTTAATTGTATCAAATGGACGGGATTGGGCTTTAGACTTCCTGGTCTCGTGAGCAGATATGCGTCATGGGATGATGGTTGAAGGGGTTGAGGCCCCGAGGGTGCAAGGGAGATGAGGGAAGAAGCTGTGGTATGAGGCTGGCCCGAGCGATGCTGCGCGTGTGAGATGGAACGATGAAGGAGGAGAGGTCGAACAAATGGAGGCGTGAATGGTGTTGGTGGTGGTGTTGGTGGTGGTGTTGGTGGTGGGAGAGAACGGGGTGCCGCGGCCCGGATGTGTGGTGGTTTCCTTCGGAGTCGGATCCTTGCTGCGTCACTCCCCCACCCCACCCCGCCCAAGTCCGGGGTTCCTGGGCGGGGTCGATGACTCCACCTGCCATGGCTTTGTGCGTTTCGGCGATTTAGTATTAGCAGCGGAGATCGGCCTCAAGGCGGGTCGCCCGCCCGGGCCCTTTCCTCTTACGTGGTGGCCATGAATTGGCCTGCAATACAGACGGGGGCATGAAGAAACCGCAAAACGAAGACTGGGCCGCGCCGCCCTGCTATCACGAAGCCTGCGCTGTCAACTGTATTTATTCCCTGGCGGATCGTTATGCAACGCTTGTGACATTGCACTAGTGCCCGGCCATTTGGTCCAATGCCACTGCCCCCCTCCGCCGGCTAATCCCTAACTCGACAACGTCAACAAGAACAGCGCGGCGGGCGCAGTCCTACAAACACTCTACGTGGCCTGGCTGTCAGAACCAGGAAAATACTGGCAAAAAACCAAGTGCGAAACATCATTCGACGAACGGCTTCCGCCTCGTTTTTGCCCCCCCTTGCTGTGGGGGCCAGTTGTTAAGCTCCGGTTTAGGGGTCGGAAGGGGAGGTCATGGCTCGGCATGTCGCCCGCACTCGACAAACTCAGTCACGGCCAATCTCTCATTGGTTAAGGCTGAGCATGGCACCTCGCCTTGGGACGAGGTAGGCGAGTAGGATATCTCGGAGCTCTGGCTGAGGAATCACCCATCCGAGTCTACGAAACGGACTGTTCTATTCAGTGTGACGGCAGGTTTCTAGCAACTTTCCATGCTAGACAAAGGTATCCGCTCGTCAATAGCTCCTTACTTGATGGGGTCCTAGATAGAAAGAAAAGTGGCATTCGGTTGATCCAGCGTCCTTGCTGAAATTAAAACTGTACTATCGCCACTTCCCATGATGTCCCGACAACTACGTTCGTAAGACTCATGACCGGCAAAGAAATTTCGCAGTCGAGTACCTTTCGCGGGTTCAGCAGTTACCCGTACGCTGCATTACGAAAAACGGAATCCACAGGTGGGAAACATAATCAGACATGGGGGTAGTCTTCGCTCGCCGCCCTAGACGGCCTCCCTGTTGCCCCAGAGCTCAAGTCTTGCAGAAGCCTCTTGAGGCTCTCAACTAGGGGTGGCAGCGGCTCCGAGACAATAGGGAAGTTGTTTCGGAAGATGTCCCTTCCAATGGACAGCACCATGCTCGGGTTCGACAGCGACTCCACGCCATCAGTCGGATTCCCGTTGAGTGTCAGGCCAGGCACGCCACGGTCAAACTGCAAGAATGCCCTCGTCTCGCGGTTTTCTTCAGAGTCCATGAGAATATATGCCGAATTGGACTTGCCACCGATGCCGTTGCCCGCCTCCTGGCCCTCTGCCTGCCCAGGTGACGGACACGAGAGCAAGCCGTAAGCCCAGAGTGTGAGACAAGCAAAGTACACTGCGATGGCGTTGAACTCGCGCAAGGAGGCGGGCGGAAGTTGTCGCGCGTGATGAAAGATCTGGCCAGCATGCCATATGGCGTGGCGGGCCTCGGGTGTCTTCATCCAGCTTTCTTCGAGCTTGCTGGAAATTCTGCGAGCTTCGTCCTCGCCCGCCTTGCCCGCAAATGTCTGGAGGACATCAGGGGAGACGTGAATGAGCATCATGAGGACCTCCGACATGACTGCAAGCTGGGCCGTCGGTCGCTTGGACGTGAGGATCATGGTCGAAAAGTCGCTGAGATCACGGTACAGCTCCTGGTACTGTGTTTTAAGCCAGAGGCGGTGGGTTGCGTTTCTCTTGCTCGAGATTCCATCCGCGTAGAACTTGATTGCCTCACGATACGCCGATATCTGACCCCAATATCCATGTAGCAGGGCCATGTAGCAGAGTTCAGTGTCGACCAGTTGCTCGAACTCGTCAAGTATCTCGGTGCAATGCATGACTTCCGATACACGAGGGATTATTCGGTCGGGCGCAGCACTGGTTTTGGCCAAGTACAGGCTTCTCCATTGCTCCGCAGATCGGGCTCGCCACAGATCTCGGGAGGCAGGAAGGCCGAAGTTGAGCTCGGTGTATGACATTAAGGGATTCTTGCAAAGCCCGATGGACGTTTGTATATCGTGGAAGAACATGTGCAAGACGAGCCGTTTGTAGGATTCGCGTTTCGCAAACTTGCGCCACTTGGTGTCCAGTACGTCGGGAGGGTCCTCGAGTGTTGGGATTATTGCGGGTGAGTCGGGTGGTGTCGAAAAGCTACCTGCGCGTCTGAGCATGGTCATTGGAGGTTGCAAGAAGCTTTCTGCTATCTCCATCTTTCTCTTGAACCCGCTCCAGATACCGGTGTCCAACGTGAGCATGGAGGCCTGAAGAGCCTCGAGGTCTCTCGTAAAAGTATTCGAACCTTCGAACTGTGAGGTGTGTCAGCAACATTGTCCCCCACTTGATGAATTTGCCTTGCTGTTAACAGAGGTTGGAAAAGCAAGCGTGGGGACGCATACCAAGTCTGCCAGCCCAAGCCTCAGAACTTCATGGAGGGAGAACCCGAATTGCCAAACCGCCGGGATGGATATGTATGTCGCACCACTGGATATGATACCAGCAAGCAGTTCAGGTATCGCTGTCGTGGCATCAAAGGTAGCCAGGTGAATCCAGCTGTCGCCCTGGTGCTCGTCATGAATAAAATGGGCCTGAACGAGGTAGTTGAGGAGGTCCAAAGACGGGAAGGACGGCGTGCGTTGACGGGCACCCTTTTGGACTGTGCTGGCCACTACCATGACCAGCAGGCTGTCTCTAGACGAGGACGTCATCTTGAGCTTTGTACCTGGAGTGCTGGTAAGTTTGTCGAAAGCGGGAGAGTTGGCAAGGGTGCCATCGTCCAGGGCCAGGCGTTCCTTGTCGTGAGGGGATGCGTGGTGAAGGGCGTAATCATTCGGGCCTGGCTCCCACAGCCAGGGCGATCGTTTGAAGGCGGCATGTGCTCTGGAAGCGTTCCGCGTATTCGACTTTGACCGGTGGGTTGTGGCAGACTCGGGGGTTTGGTTCGTCTCGGGTTGTGGAATGGTTATGGCATCGAAATTTAGGTCCCAGGAGGAAAAGTCCATGTCCTGTAAGTAGTTTTGCATGGGATTGAAATAAGCGATGTCGTCCATGACCAGGTCGATGGTGGGGTTCGCAAAACCATCCGCCATGAACGAAGCTGCGTCCATTTCGTGGGTCATGTCGTGATGTGGAGGCATGAGTGCCATCTTGGGGTCGTCGTAGGCCGAGCCGGGATTCATGCTGCGATTCATGTCGAGGGCATGATGCATCGTAGATGTTTCGGACGGTGTCGAGATGCCGTCTACGGAGGATCGGTTGGGATGTGTACGTTTCGAGGGGACTTGGCATGGCAGCTTCTTGGAGCGGCAGCGAGAGCACGGCTTGACGTCCTAGGTGGGCGTCAGTTTGTATTGTCTCCGGGGAATGATGATGATGATGATGGTGATGTAGCCCAAGGAGTGTTTACCTCGCATTTCGACTTGGAGGCGGCGCAATTTAGGCATGCCTCGGCGGCCCGATCGCTTCTCCGTATGAAGGTCCTGCCTTTGCCCGTGTTATCCCGGTCGTGAGTTGTCTCGTGGCGAGTGAGAAGGTCGGCGCGGTTGAATCGTTTCGGACATCGAGAGCACTGGTAAGGGCGAGCGTTCTCGTGGGAACGCAGATGGCGCGTTAAGTGGTCGGCTCGCTCGTAGACCCTCCTGCATATATGGCAGACGTGTGTCGCGGAGGGTGAGGCGTCGGACGTGCTCAGTTTGCGCTTCCCGAGATGCTGGGGTGGAGGTTGGGCCGGCTCTTTCCGGAGATCGGGCGGGGAGTAGAGCGGGTTAAGCATGTCGGAGCCGGCGGCATCGCAAAGGATGTCGATGCCGTTCATGTTACATACGGCAGGAGGCGGGCTGGATGGAGGAAGGGGACTGCGTTATCGAGTTGAATTGGCGACGGCTGTAGAAACTCTTTGGCGCAAGTCTTTACAACGGCAGTCGCATCGGCATCAGGCATCGGGCACCGGGAAGTGGCGGGTTGGCTACAGCCGCGAGTGGGCAGGGCAAGCAAGAAACACTGGACGGCAATTGGGAGGGGAGGAGGTAAAGAAGGAGGTACCCCTCCACCGAGTTGCGTATGAGGCGGTACCTTCCTTGATTTGTCCGATCTGGCGACCGCCCGCTTGTCCCCCAAGCATTTTGCGGGGTTCGGGGGACCAGACCAAGACAGGCCAAGACTAGGTTACCTACTTTAGGTACTACTTTACTTTGCCTGCTCAACGGGAATGACGGCGGCGCCGTTGGATTTTCACTGGCCGTGATTGGCTGGCTGACTGACTGGCTAGCCAGCACGGCCTGTAATTGTTTGAGAGGGGGATTGACATGCTTGGTGCGCGTGCGTGAGAGTTTAAGTCTGACCACTTGACGCATCCCATTGTCATCATATGCCTCGAGCTGCAACTTCAGACCATGTCGGCCGGGCTCTCAACTATTTCTGTTTTCCTCTACGTGGAGCCCGTGGGCCGCCTCGGCTGAGTCTGAAGTGGCTGAGACAGGAAAAAGGAATGTGTTGAAGGAAGAAAGCCAAGGGACAACGGCAAACAACATGGCACAGCCCTGCCTGCGATGCTCATCGTCTTCACACACTGACAGACATCCAGCTTTCAAAGGCGGTCAAGATGATGTCAGGGAGGAAGAGCGAGCAAGCTGACGACTATGGGCATGGGCGACAAGAACGACGAGGGATTTCTGACGGGCCGAGTTAGGCATCTCGATGAGACTTGAAACATAATGTTGATTACTAGAGCCTCGCTTGCAGCATCTAGCACCAAGCCAGACAGGGCTGAAGGGACCACGACTCTCCAAAAGAAAGGTGGCATGAGTGAGCAAATGGACGCCACGACTCAAGGGGCCGACCCCGATGCCGGGAACTTTGCGTTCGCAAGTGTACCTACTGCGTCGATGCTTTTCCCAGGTCGCGGAAATCATATCCATCGCACACGTCCCCAACAGTACGAGCATTAAGGTTTGGCATTGCTTCCGAGAAGCAGGTAAACCGAGGTGGTAATCACGCTCGACGTATGTATAGTAGAGCACAACCTCCATCTCAGAAAAAAAAAATAAGCATGCTAACAAGAACGAACCACCATGTCCATTAACAAGGTGGCTGTCACAGTGCGGTCGGGGTTTCGGCCATGACTTTTGCTTGTGTGTCGAGACTTTTTTGTTGTTGCTTGACTTGCGCATCACACGATGGACTTGGAATTGGCAGGCGGCCGGGCCCCGTTTCCATCTCCAGAGATCGAACGAACATGATCGAACGAACATGTCTCAACTCGGAAGTTGGCCAAATTCCCCGGTGAGAAGGCTAGGTTCTTGGCAGAGGATGGGATGTTCCGAAGGGGGGCAATGCACCCGTTTGCCATTGATGAATGCTTGCTTGCTCCCGAGTCCGAGGCTGGGAGGGAAGCAAGAAACACACGGTCAAGAAAGCAAGAAAGCAAGCAAGCAAGCAAGCAAGCACTCTAGGCCAGCAAGGGGGCTTCAACACCGGGCTGCAGATGGAAGGTGTCATGGCCGCAGAAGTTGTCAAATCTCATATTCTGCGCATGTCAGCGTCAATCACACTTTCCTCCCCCTCCCCCCCCTTTCTTTCCTTTCTTTTCCCATCTGTTTTCTTTGCCTCCCTCGTCGCCATTTCTTCTGTCAGGCCCCCAAACAACCTACGTCGTCCACATCCCTCCGAAACCAACGGTGAACAAGCCAAGCCTTGCGCCTTTCACGCCCCGGTGTATCCGCCGCTACCTAGGTTAACGTAGTAAGCTATGCCGCTCTTCCCCCTCCGCTCAATCCGACCTTCATCAACGACATCGTTCGGTCCCCCCCCCCCCCCCCCCCTTTCCACGTCTGCTGCGACCGAGCGCGGACGCTTGCCGGACCGACTCCCTTGGTCAGCATGCCGTGCCTGACAACGAGATCTGAGCTACCACTCGGGTGACAAAAATATGGCCGGTTGCCGTATGGTAGTCCCTTTGGCGTCCCCTTCGTCTCGCTACTCGCTACAGATCCCTGGACTGCCCGTGTCATTAGTGACAGGTCGCATGTCTTACTCCTCTTTGCGGCGCGAGACAAGAAAGCCTACACAGCCCTCGTCTTGCGTTCAGTAACCACCGGCATGCGTCCCGCGACGCAGCCTATTGCCCTCCCATTCAGCACTAACGACTTACTCAACCTTGAGCGCTGCCCTGACTGCCGTGCCATTGAAGGATGACTCGGCCAGCCATCTATCTGGCCATCTGGAACCTGAGCTGGCCTGCGCAAGAACCCTGCATCTCAGCTGGGATGCTTTCAGCTGGCCTGACCTTCTCCCTCCCTTTCTCGCTCTGGGTGGGCGTTTCCTCGATAGTGGAGCGTTGCAGGACGTCGACTCGCTCATGCACCACCCTGCAGACCGTTTGGTGTAACGAGCCAGGCCTAGCTCCGAGCTCCAGCTACAGGTAGGTGACAGTGGACCCGTGGAACCGGGACCGATTGGGCTGACGGGGGGTGGTGACCTCGCTCGCGACGCCCGGGCAAACAACTCGCTGCTTCTCGCCGCGATACCGACGTCACCCCCTAGTTGCAGGACTCGGTCCGTCGTCGCTTTGTAGATAGATGCATACTCATAATACTCGGCAATCACCGGGACCCGTGGCGTGCTATGGCTATGGAACGACAAGGATGGCTGGGATAACTTGTCGCTATTCAACGAAGCGGGCTGTAGTACCGACAACTCGCAACCTTGTGCTAATCCTGGACATTCGAACGAAGACAGCTGAACGCCAGGCTTTTTTTCTTTCTTTCTATCCCAACGCCATCTCGTTTGAGATGGCGAGACTCGGGTCGAGTCTACCACCAATACCACACTCTCAACCCTGCGATGCCTACCCAATGTTTGCTTTTCTGCACATCCTTTCTTTCCCCTTGTTCATCGCGACGCCACCTCGATCTTGACCGATATACACTTAGGGGGGCTACCTCCACCATGCAGCTGCAGCCTGCATTGCAGCCAGCTCGTCGCAGACGCAATCACCGATGCGGACTCGAACTCTACCAATCGACACATTTCGGGGCTTATCTCCGAGCAGAGCACCTCCCGCATTCCTCCCGACAGGGTCGCGATCGTGCACACCCATGCGATATGCTGCAGCCACTATGCCGGGTACTGATAGGCCTGCCTCCACGCCGGTCAGTGGGTGGTTACAGATCAAGAGGGGGGGGGGCATCCTACCTACCTACGTTGTAGTGCTGGTAGTACTACCGCACATATGTATCCTCCGCACGCTCGGCGACGACCATCGGCTTCCAAAGGGTCGAACAAGATGGCAACGACTTTGGGGATGGGTAGAGAGATTCTTCTTTTTTGTGCATACGTCTCTATACTGCAAACGAAGAGTAAGCATCTCCAGATGGCTGTCATTACAATCCCTAACTCCACCACCCACCCCCCTCCGAAGCTTCAAGTCCCAGGCGCCGGTTGTGGTATGCCATGCCGATTTCTGTTCGTCGTCCCGCCCGTTGTTACCCTACAATTGCGCAAACCGATCTAAAAATCGGACAGACATGGCTCGTTAACATTACAGGGCCAGTACCCAGATTGGCCCACCCAGTCGTTTTGATCTGCCCCTTTTTACTCGTTCCCTCACAAAGGAAAAATAATAAAATATGATGAAAATGACATTCTCTTACTCGAGCAGACCCCATCCGGTGTCATGCCCGCGCACAACCCCTCATCCACTAGCTTTCGTGTGTCGCCGTTCGCCGTCGTCCCAGGGTATCGTTAATGTTTTGAGGGTTGCCAGTCATCGCGTCGCAGTCGGACCAACAAGACTCCTGACTAGGGGGATTATCGTCTGTTGAAGAGTCAGCCACACTGCCACATGGCCATGAGGCGTGGGAAGAAGTCCAAGAAACTCACAAGAACTGGTCTAGCCACAGGGGGTGCCGCAGTAACCGCACTCTTTTCCGGGTAGTACCCACACTTCTTTACCTGAGGCATGGCACGTAGGGCATCGAATACCCGGGAGGAGATGCTGCGACAAGTGTCAGTTTTAGTTTTTTAGTTTTTGTTCCCAGGGGGGCGGGCAGTGTGGATGTGGAGTGCAGTCAGTCATGGGCTCACCTGTTTGGAACCGCTCTTGGACGACGACGACGAGGGCTTCTGCTGAGTTCGGGAAGCGGCCTTGTCGACCTGATATTGCGTTGAGCAGACCATGATGGCGGAATTGTAGAAGTGAAGATGGTAGACTGAGTGGTCCCTAAGATGCAGTTGACGAAATGTGTAGGTGTGGTTGGTAGAGTTACGGGAGCTGCTCAGGTTGAAGACTTGTGAGCGTGGTGGTTGAAGCGAGGCTTTTGGACTCTTGGTGATGTGCGATGATGGTGATCCAGACGAGGCAGAAGCTCAAGGAGGCGCCCGTGGTCTCTTATACTTTGCTGTTGTTTCCTTTGAACTTGCACGAGGACAAAGCACTGTGCTAGCTGGGCTGGAAAGTCTGGCAAGGACCGGGTAGGCAAGGCAAGGCGAGGGAGAAGAGGTCAAGCGGGAGCGGATGTTCCAAGTCCCTGCTCTGGTTACTAGTGCAAGAAGAAAACATAGCAGTGGCATCTGATAATAATCAATCGGCGAGCAAGCGGCGGAAGACCAGCAGCAGAAGCACAGCGAGCAAAAGAAACGAAAAGGAAGGAAGAAAAAAAAAGGACCCAGGCCGGCAGGTCGGTACAGTGCAGATGGCGCATATCACATTCTGGGGCGGTATCACACTAGCAAGACACCCCCCCCCCCCCGCCGGGGAGGCGTATGAGTGGGATCTGAGGGCACTTACTGTTAGGTAGAGCAAGTACATCGGCCTGCCTCGCAAGGATGGACGATTAGGTGGGACGTACCCTGTGCGACTCTCCGTCAGAGTGTGGGTTGGGCCAGGCCCGGGTGATGGCTGAAGAATTGTTGTTCATCGGGAACCGGCGTGTGTGTGTGTGTGTGTGTGTGTGTATATGCAAAAGAGAGAGGGGGAAAGGGGGGCGTAGGTGTATTGGTACATGCATCTGTCTGTGTCTTTCTCTTTTCTTTCTGGCTGGACGGTTTCTCGATTTTGGCAGGCGTTTCCTGGCTCTTTTGGGGAGGAGCTCGGGGGGTGGGAGAGTTTGTGGGAGTGAGACTGGGCGCGCCTCTACCTCGTTGTCGGATTATTGTTTTTTTTTTCTTCGTTTTTTTCCCCCCATCATTTTCGTTGCTGGACGAGGTGAGACAGAGTCGAACCAGATCAGCAAGCCCCCGAGTCTGAGGGCGGCACACGGCGAAGGGGGCCCGGCTTGTTGAGGCACGTTGCAACTTCTCGCGGCTGGCGGCGGCGCTTCCGGGAGGAAGGGTTGAGTCTGCTCGATTCCTTCTTTGTAGGAACGGGGGTACACACAACATAGGCAAAGCAACGCGCAAGCAGTGGAAAGCAAGGTGAGCCAGCGCTATGATGCTCGTCTGTTTACATACCACCTACCTCCACGAAGTACCGCATTCGACCGGTCAGTCAGTCCCCCTTCCAGCGCACGCCCATCACCCATGCAACTCTCCCCTTCTCCAACCCGATCCCCAAGGCCCCCGGTTCACCCATTGGCCCCTCCTCCCCTGGTAGGCAGTCGATCGAAAGACTACTGCAGCAAGGGTCAGCCTGCCAGGGGGGGGCGAGTACTAGAAGGAGAACCCGGGCGAGTGGATCAAAGAGCTCTGTTCGATCTGCCCCGGGATTCGTTCGGGGGATTTGCTTCTGGGTCATGCGACTTTACGATGTACAGCAAGCCGTGGGTGATGATTGCTCTCGACTAGGCGGCGTGAAGCATCGCGAAGTCTTCTCTTCCCACCCCATATATTTGCTAGGTATCGACCTGTACAGGCGTAGCCAACGGAGGCTCAGCATCGCAGACCGGCTACCGAGGCCGCTACGAGGCAAGGATGCCTGCCTGCCTACCTACTTACATGCTCGGACGAATACATGGTACATGTACGGATACGTCTCGCCGACACAGCCAACGAACCCTGCAGAACCGGTGTAGCCCGTGCCGGAATCGACGTGCGAGGCTCAAACGATGCCGTCACCCCCAAATGTCTGTATGTCCTTCTTCTGCTGTTTCTTCTTCTTGTTGTTCTTCTTCTTCGTCTTCTTCTGCACTTTTGCTTTTCGCGGCGTGCGAGGCCTCTGAAGACGAGGTCAGAAGGCCCGCTCCACCCCCAACAATTCAGCTCCCGCGGTTTCATGACGAATCGTTGACGGCGAGAGCGCGGGACTTGGCAAAATCCGAGCCTGAAGATTGGACTCGGCAGGTAGACGAGTCGTTGCTTTTCTTGCCTATTCCTGGGTACCGTGCGTCAGTCGTCGCATTCGCGCCCATCACGATGCGAGCAAGGTCGGCGGTAGCCAACGCACGTCGTCGGTAGTGGTGTTGATCACTGCACGTAAACCACGATGGGACCAGGGGTCGTTTGTCCGAGCCCGGGGACTTGCGCGAAGCGGGAAGGGGGGAGAGAGACCCAATAGCAGGCGACAAATGGCGCTATCGAGTAGAGACGGCAATGGGGGGAGCGGAACGAACAAGAGTGTGGCCTAGAACGGCGTGAGACACTCAAGTTCTGCGTGTGACAGGTCGGGGATTAGAATTAATATCAAACTCTGTTTGGATTGCCAGGGTCAGGAGATCCTTCCTTCCCTCCCTCCCTCCCTCCCCTGGTAGTGGCCGATCGTCGTCACCGTCACCGTCGCCTTCACTGTCGTCGTTTGCCTTGTATTGGGTCAATGCTAAATTCGGCCCACCTGGTACCTACCTAGCTGCACGTGGGTACTCGTCGGAAAGGGGTCTGGCCCGTGATGGTGAGCCCCAGCTGAAGTTCTCTGGAATTGGTTGTATCATTCTTTTCTTATGAGCAGCCGCACGAGCTCTGACACTGACGGGATATAGGGTTTGCGACGAGCAGAAATAACGAGGCTAACGAGTGCGACCCCGGCCGGGTCAAGAATCGGATGGTCCTATTGGCCACATGAGGGCGGAAGACCTTTCCGGGAGGAGGAGGGAGGAAAGGGGGGAGTTTATGTGTATGGCGGCTGGCGCTGATGTGCTCTCACTCACCGTGGTTTGGGGGCCCGGTGACCATCCCGATTGGTGGCTTTATCTAATGACCTGAGCATCCGTAGAATTCTCGACTCCCTCCTAGTAAACTCTGTATGACGATTAATTATTCTAGTTTACTTCCATTCGTACTTGCCCACGACTCGTAGTTTTGAGAGAAGGAGAGGGAGAGAAAATACGAGGTCAAGCCACAGTTGCATTCGCGCTCACACCAACACACACACCTCTTTTTGTAAGGGGAGGGGGAGGGGGAGGGGGAGGGGGAGGAAGCGTCATATTCTGATTGAGCCCTGCCTGCATCCCGATAAGCATCTTGTAACCGGGCTTCGATTGTTGGGTGGCCTATCGGATGCATGGGTGGGCTGGGTGGCGCGCATCTCTGCTCCTACCCAACCACCCTGGTTTGATCGATGCGTTCCATTTGAATTCTGTCACTTGTCGGAAAAATACCGCGTGTTCCGTCATGCTGTGTAATACAGATACATTTCCTCTTGCCCCTCCGCCCCCTTCCGGCTCGCAAAGCTACTTCAAGCCCGTCAAGCCAGGCGACCGGAAGCTGAACGTCTGAACGTCGGCTCAGCCCGGCATTCCTCCGAATGCCCTCACTCCCTTGCCTTGCCTTGCCTTGTACCGTGTCGTACCGTAACTGTACTGTACAGGGGCGTTCCTTGCGCCCCATCCGTCATCAAAGCCTACGCCGCGACTATCATCACAAAACGGCCAGGCAGGCCGGCAAGTAGGTAGACAAGAGCCAGGCGGCCTTGGTCGGGAGGGTCGCAAGCAGCTCGGATTTGAGACGAGGATGGCTCGATATACTGGCCCACACGCCCCCATGGCGCTGCTTTCTTCGCATACCCATCGGCTCAACTCTCGCGAGACAACATGCGTGGAAGGAAAAACGAACGAGAGGTGGGGAGAGAGGGGGGAGGGAGCAGCGGCAATGAAGATAACAACCCAAAGCACAGGAGTTGATTCCATGCTTCCTTGGACAGAAGAACTCTTCGAGGTACTCCGTACAGCCAACGGTGTCAAGTCTGGGCAGAGGGGGAAAAGGCAAGCCGCAAGCGAGGTCATGCAGTGTCGTGTTAGTGTAGGGAAGTACCTAGTTTACATAGCACATCCACAGGTACTTCCACATCCACATCTGCATGCACATCTACGCCGACATTCACACTCACACGCTCCTTCTTTCATGCGTCCCTGCTCCTGCATCGCAACGTAAACTACCTACCTAACCTAGGTACTGTACCTCTGCAGGCCCACGCCGGTCAGCTAGGTATGGTGGTGGGTAGGTAGGTAGGTACTACCAGTACCAGTGTACGTACTACCCGTCTACGTAGTACCTACCTGCCTAAGGTAAGAGATGCTGTATTCGGTATTCGGACTGAGGAACGTACCTTCCTTCCCAGGTAGTCAGTCCCTTTGAATGTTCTACGTATTCGTACGGCGACACGTCCTTTCTCACAATGCAAAATGTGAATCCTCCGATTGCAAGATCCAAGGCCTCGGGCAAACATCCACACTAACGCAATCCATTCCTCTGACCCTCGTTCTTGTCTTGTTGCCTTGTTCGAGGACTGCCCATTTCACCACCTTCCCGCACATAGTTTCTTTCCATCTACCCAGCATCCCTTTCCTTGGCCACACACCCTTGGCCTCCTCGTACCAAGCGCGCAAACGTATGATCCTGAAGCTTCCAAGCAAGCTTCACACGCACACTTCTGGCAAGCAGGCGGCCGCCGCTCCCCTCCCTTCCCCGCGCTGCTCTTCCGATTTGTTTTTGTTTTCCAACATTTTGCCAATTAGATTCGTTTTCTTCATAACCCCCTTGGCATGGACCACGCGAGTCCGCCATGCTTCCTTTTCCCAGGCGGGTCCCAGATGGCGTTTGGTTCATCACAAGAAACCCCCACCTGGTGATCCCATTTTGCTTTCTTTTCTTCGTCCCCTGCTCCTCGATTTCCTTGCTCGGAATTACTTCTTCTTTCTTTTTCTCTCCCCCTCTTCCCACCATGAGTACTTAGCGTGCCATTCTGCAACAGTTTGGTCACGCATCGATCGGACAGGCTGATGAGCTCTTTCGGCATGGAGCCCAACGGTGCGCTGGGTGGGGAAGGGGGCCTGGCTGCCCACATCGTGCCTACATTCTCTGAAGCGACATTAGCCACCTTGTACAGGCGGCACGGCTCGACGGCGACGGGCTTCTTTTCGTTGGGCACTTGTCGAGCAAACATCGGTCTGCCTGTTCGTTAACGGCCGAGTGCGTTTGAAGCCGGCAGGGATGCCACCCATCAGCCGCAACACCCGCCCCAGCTTGGACCGACCGACCGGGTTACACCAGGAACCGCCAACGATCCAAGGAAGAAAAGAAGAGGAATTGTTTTCCCTCCAGCGCCAGCTGTACCGGTATGGCTGTCTGACTTTGCTGCCCACGCTACACCCACTACTGCAAAGGGCGGGAGCCTAGCCTCATCCCGGAGTGCTGGTTCGAGGTGGGCGCACCGCCGCCCGCCTGTCCTATATCCGGCTTGACGTTGTGCAGCATCCGCCGTCACCACCTGCCATCTGATGTTGCACACCCGCCCTGTATCTTTTCCTCCACAAGACCAGATCGCTCATGACGAGGTCAGTCGCCGATGGCTGTGTATTGTGAGCCCCCTCCTTGTCCGACCAATACTTGCGAGGCTGATATATATGCCAAGTCGATTCACCATGCGACGTCGCCTTGTTTCTTTTCAACAAGCCTGCTGGCCAGCGTACAATACGACCTCCATACACGGATTCGAATTGTTTGGATCCGGGGGCACCGGTCGAAATTCGACTGCTGTCGTGTGGGTCCTGTTGTGTTGTGCTTCCGAAGCAACGGCGCTGGTCACCCCATCAGGCTGGGGATTGTTGTGCCAGGGCACGAAGCTCATTGTTTGGTCAACGATTTATGTAGTGGCGGCTTGTTCCGCCCCTCGAGGGATCCCGACGGTCATGTCACATGTGTGTGGCCCTTGTCTTGGACGGCAGGCTAGAGGTCCAACAAACCGCAGCGTCGAGTCGTGGCATGGACAAGCTTACCAACAGTCATCGACTGGGTCTGGATCCCAGTTCTCGATCCGTCCGTCACCGAAATCTCAATCGGCTTTTCCCTGTGTCAAGCCCAGGGCGGCATCAGAAATCCGGTGTCTCATATCGCACGGTTTCATATGCCTGCCTGCCTGTCAGGCAGATTGATGTATCGGCTTTTCTGACCAAACTCCATCGCTGTCATTTCTGACTAACGCTAGCAGATCACAAAACTGAGTCTCCAACTGTACCAACGACTGATTGTAGCTACTAATCGATGTTCCAACGCCCTGCGACTTCTAACCAGCGCCTCTTGGCTGGTTCACATAATGCTGCAGGCGCTGGTATGTGTAGGACCATCCAATGACCGGCGACGTGTGCTTCTGAGCGCCCCAATACGCATCTAGTGCGTGCATGTCGAGCATGCAAACTTGTCGAAATGACCTGTCACATAGTACATGAGATGCGCAGATGATCAGGTTTTGCGTCGAAATCCGTCAAAGCCCACTGATGTACTGGCCACACAGCCAATTCCGTTGAGGTCTTCGTCGAGAACACGACTTGTCACATCAGCCACATCGCCTGGTTGCGAAACCATATCGCCCTACCAAGATCCGGTTTCCGCCACGATTGCCCAGTCGTTCAGCTGGCTTTGATTCTGGTTTTTTTCTTTCTTTTTCATATACTCGGATTGTAACTTTTTCAAGAAACGCACGGCCAGCGGACTGCCTATTGACTCACGATGACGAGAGATCTGGCAAGCCACGAGAGGCTCTACTTGGTGGCTGCTTGGTGACTGATCGAATCTCGTTGAACACACATCCGGCCTGTTTGACCACAACCCAAGCTCTCTCCCTTGCAAAGTATTCGGTTATACACACACGTATCACATGTCAAGCCCGCCGGCAAGTCAAAAGTTTCAATGCAGCACATGCAATCATTCTGTTCGCATTCTTGACGGCTCGCCAATGACAATAATGCTATTCTTGCAATAAGGATGCCGGCATACGTATGTAACCACCCATGAAGACGTGACGCCATGTAACCCCAGCTTGGGAGCGGGCTGGTTTCATCAAGCCATAAAAATCAAACGCCAGAATCTTTGTCAATAACTGCGATTATTCCGTGTTCTCGGTCGACCGTTACCCTGCTTGACGCGCAATTCCTGCAAGTCCCATAGGTCGAGGCTACCAGAAGCGAGTCTCAACTTTGCAACTTCAAGTCTCAGCCGGGCCCCGGTTTGAGATTCCATCTGATGATCCGCGATCGATGCCGCCCTCGATCGGTCTCTTGATGACTCCATGTCTAGCACCGGAATCTCGGTTGCCTCCTTGCCACCGACAGGCATACCCGGCTAGTCAACCAAGCTGTTGGAACTGCCGTTTAGCGTTCCGGTTACTGTACCACATGGTCGCACGTACAACCGAGAGACAGAAGCGGGTTGTTGCATCTTGACCGCCTCCAATTCAGATGATCTTTACCGAGAAGGTTGGGTCGAGAGTACTCATCATCTCGATGGCGACTCCGCCAAACGAAAGTTCGAAATGTCAGAAAAAACAGGTGTTTCACCGCCAGGAATTCCCGTCCTTTGTATATGGGGTTTGTGATAACCATCCATTCACAGAGTACCAGATCGTCAGTTCTCATGTGCGAATCAACTGCCGGTGCGGTCTTGTCGGACCGCCCTGGTTCCCGCACCGCAAGGTAACCGCACCTCATTTGTTCCAACCCGCCGCATGTTACCTGTCAACTTTATTTAGTCGGCTTTGTGCGCCTTGGCCCGGAAAGAAGCGTGTGGTTGCGCCTGAGCTGCTACACAGCTTGAACAGGTCATGCGAAGTTGTACTGGCAACCAGCGTGCAATATCTCATAGGGAAAAGCCTGTGTTGGTGGCTGCATATTATCGGAGGACTCTCTTCAATTGGACTAGCCATACCGAAACATCGAATCTCGGTGATAACTGACAAATCGTCTGTTGTCGGTCCGCAACAGGCAGCCCCTATCCCGGCATCGCAAGCCCGCATGATGGCCATATTTTCTTCTTGTTGTCTCATTTACAAGCGGCGTAGAAGCCTATTAGCCAGTCTCGACCCTTGCTTTCTTCTCCGTGGACGTAGCCTGTCCCACAGTCAACGGTCATGCTGGACTTGGAGTACCTATGGCTACACCATCATGCACGCACCCTACTGCAAGCCGTCCTTGGATCGACGAGCCCCCGTCGAGCGTCGTCTGTTCTTTTCGGTGGCATCCTTTACTAATGCCGAACCTGCAACCCGCAACTGGTGCCATCGGGTTAGCTATCGATGCTACCGACTTGCCAATCGTGCATCTCTGCCAAGCTGTAGCAACCGGGCAGGGCTGCAGCACCTTCTGATGAATCTGAAGGCTGCGGGCTCGCAGTAGCGTTGCACATGCGCAGACGATCGGCCAGCAGGCTCAGAATGGAGAGGGATGGTCTGCAAACGCGCCTTTTCGGACGCGATTTGATTATGAACTAGCGTCTTGGCAAAATATTGGGAGCGGCTCGGATTGGACGTGACGTCCGCCCTGCTGTAGCACCAATCGGCCCGCAGCCGACTTGTGACAACGAAAGAGACGGCGACCTGTACGGGCGTCCATCAACTCGGAACGCAAGTCTACAACAGAGGCCCTCAGGTAGAGCACGACAATGACGTTGTGGCCCGGTGGCGGAAGGAGGGAGGCTCCTTTGCTTGACCGCTTCAGATCCCGCGTCCCGGCGTCACACGACAAGAGAAGCATGTCGTGCCCGGATGCAACGCGAAGCCCGGGTGGAATAAGCAACCGTGGACATTCCACAACCTACGGGACGGGCCAGCTACAGCTATGACCTTGATGGCCGCTAAGTGGCCAGCGAAAGAAAGGAGAATGCAACAGACACACACATCATTTCCTCGTCAGCGATATACGCTTCTCTTCATCTCATCCACCTGAGTGAGACCCGCGAGTATCTGTTCGTTTTGGCCGGAGAAAAAAAAGAAAGAAAAGAATGGAGAGAAACTCCCCTCAGAGATTTTTTTCAACTTTTTTTTTCCTTTTTCCTTTTCGAAGATTGGTTGTGACGTGTTGGGATGTTTCGAGACACACGCCTCACACGAAGCCCGGCCAAGAGATTCGATAAAGCATGGACTCTGCTTCGGCGTGGCGGGCAGCCACCCACACCAGACTGAGACCGATCTCAGTGTGGTGATGGGACTAGACGTTGGCTTGGATCGAGAAAAGGAGGAGGGGAGGGGCAGCTGACGAGAAACATACATACACAGAGAGAAAGAGAAAGAGATGTCTTGGAACTTCGGCCCCCAAGCTGGAGAGAGACAAATGGAATGACACAAGGACAGAAAAGGATGGAGACAGTTTGACTCAAGGACGTTTGCTCGCCTCCTTGGCTGTAGTTTCTTTCCACCTATCTATCTAGCTACATAATGCGCGCCCATGGTGTGGCCCCAACCCGTTTGCCTGTTGTTTCTCTCCCCTTGCTGGTCCAAGACCGGACCCCAACAGGTTCCTGTGCATCTGTGTACTGTTCATATCGGGTTTTTTGCTTTCCCTCCCCACGTCTCTCATGCGGCATCTTCACATTGTGTCTTGGACCTCGTCACACCCCTCCCCCCCCCTCCCAAATCCCTCACCCCTTTTCTTTTCTTACCGCCACCGGCCCCCAACGGAAAGATAAAAGTCCCGAGCGACGACCCTTTCCCCCCTCGCTCGCATGACCGATTGTCTCTCCTTTGGGCTGCGACGCCCCTCCCGATCCCGCCGAACCAATGTCCCCTACAATTATATAGAAAAAGATGATGAGAATTGTTAAGGATTACAAGATGGAGACGCCCTCCCTCCCCGTTCCCACCTCCTTGACCGCCGGCCGTTCGCTGAGACGGCAACCAGGGATAAACTCCCCGAGACACGAATCCCATGCCCGTCTCCTTATACCTCTCCTTCCCCCACTCTCCCATCTTCCCCACCGTGCGAGGATGCGAGCTTGATGAAGGGAAATGGAGAAAGAAGCAGTGGGTCGAAGAAAGACCCAGAAACAGAAAATAAAAGCGTAAATATGGGGAGAAGAAAAAAAAAAAGGCGGGGAGGGGGGAAATGAGAGTCAAGTGAAAGGATAGGTATCTCGCGCGCCACAGAAAAAGGAAGTGTTTCCAGGGTTGTATTAAAAAAAAAGGACGAAAAAAAAAAAACCGCCGCTCCATTGAAACGCCTTCACCATGGTATCGGGTTGTCTGCATCTAACCAAAAAAAAAAAAAAAAAAAGGAACAAAAGAAGAAGAAGAAGAAGAGGAGGAAGAAGAATGCGCAAGCCTCAACGGTGGAAAAGAAACCAACAAGAAAACACACGGAGAGAGGGGGAAGAGAGACGAGAAAGAGGAGGAAAAGGGCAAAGAAGCCCATCCTCCAGGTGGTTCATCCTGTCCCAAGCGAAGGTATAGTAGAGCCGCTCATCTCGTCGTGGCTCGTTCAGCTTTCTGTGGTAGTACTGCCATACGAGAAATCCTTCACCGCACCACCTTGTCGATCTTTACGAGCAGCTTACCACCCTCGATTGGACGGTTCTTGGTGTCCATGAGCCTGACGATGCGGAAGCCCTGACGCAGCCGGTCGAGTCGGATGCAGGCCCACGACAGCAGTTGGTCTCCGCCCAGGAGGGGGTCATTTTCAATCTTGAACCTGGAAACGGTAAACGTTAGCCACCAGCTCTAATGTGCTCCGTGCCCGTGTTTTCTGCGGAAATCTCTTCCCGCGGATTTGCAGGTGAACCGTCAACGCCGTTGCGGTGTGCAACGGCCCGGCCTGTCAAGGGCGGCGGCCCGCCTTGGCAGCCGAATGTTGGCGGCTTGTGCGGGATGAAATTGGTGATACTGCATGGAACGACGACGCTCGGTGATTCCTCTTTTGTTACACGACAGCCTCTTTGCACCCAGGGAACGAGCGTGACAGGGTGAAAGCATGCCGTCCTCGAACTGGTCAGGCCATCTGGGAACTGGGAGGTCATTGCTGCCGGGAACCCTTACACCGCCTGTGCTATTCTGCGAGAGTCGGACACACTGTAGGGAAGGGGAGCAGCGGAGCCGCGCATTGCACACGTGTGTTTCGGAGCACACGGCTTGATAAGACGTGCGACCGATATGTGCCAGCGGGGCATGGATGAATCTGAGAGAAGATGCTCTTACCTGAGGAAACTCAACTCTTCCACCACCCTCGAGACCTTGGGAAACTTGAGCCGGGCTCCGTTATCCCACTCAGGGTTGTCTGTCTTCCTCGCCCCCGTCTTGAGCTTGAAGTCATCCTCGTCGGCCGCCTTGCCGTTCACAGCCCCAATCTCGACGTGAAGCTCGCACTTGACAAATGGTCGGAGGTGTTTGGCGCGGCTGATGGTGCTGTCGGAGTCGCTGGTGGCCCGGATGTGTTGGCCGGCGATGATGGTGACGGTAAGCTCTAGGTCACCTTGCGGCGCGGCGTCAACTTCGGTGACGGTGTCCTTGTCGCAGCTTCGGTAGCCGATGGGTTTGAGGACCCATCCGTCCTCATCGGCAAACATGCCCTCGTTGAGCATCATGCTTTCGTCGAGGTACTGCCAGTTGAGGGCGACCATTTGCACGCCCTTTCGCCAGAACAGGCTGGGATCGGGGTTGGAGCTGTCCACGCGCGCGCCATTGGGGAAGGCCCGCATAAAGAAGTTCTTGTTGTGATTGAACATCTCGCGGGCCTTGGTTGCGTGCAGCTCGAGGATCCTACTCTCGCTTATTGAGAAGATGTGGCTTGGCTTCTTGGCCGCCGGCGTCTCGAAACTCTTGAAACGCTCGCTGTGCGTGTAGATGGCCAGGCTGCTGAGTGCCTGGCAAATGGCCACCTTGGTGCTATTTGGCGGCTCATTCCCGCTGTGAACCTTGATGGGAGTGTCCATCTTGGAGGTGCTTGGTGCTTTCGGTAGTTCCCTGTTCCGCTCATCATCAGAGCCCGAGGCGTCCTCATCGTTGGCAAAGATGGGCAACGACGTCGTTGCGCCAAGAGGTATCTCGATCTTGTTAGGCGCCTTCTTCACCTTGACGAGGATCTTGCGCTTCAGCTCCTCGAGTTTCGGAAGACGGAAACGAGGGTCAATGCCCTCCCAGGATTTGTCGATCAGCATCCCTTCCCACTCCTGCTTCATGATCCTGACCATGACCTCCTGCTGCTCCATGTCGGCATGCACCTCGAGGCTGACTATGATAGGCAATTCGTTGGTCTCGAAGGCGGACTCGCGGACAGCCCTGCACACCTCGCGGAAGCCGCACGGGGTAGTCAGCGTCCAGCCGTGGGTTACAATGGGTTCGTCTTTGGGATACGGTAGGCGATTCTTGCTTGCGGATTGGGGACGAAGAGTATTTCCCAGAGATTCCGTGGACTCGGCGGGCCCCAGCAGTGTGCTGCTGTCACGGGGGTCGAGAGAACTGCTGGCGCTGCTCGTGTTTCTGATGTGGCCGTTGCCGTGGCCGTTGCGATCCGAGAAGATATCTTCGACCGTCTCCTTGACGCTCGCCGCCACATTTGGTAGAGAGGAACCGGACAGATTTCTCGAATGGTCAGACCTGGTGCCCCCCTGAGGTGGGATTACGGCGTCTCCGTTCCAAACATCGATCTCGATGCACCGGCATCCCCGGCGGAGAACCTACAATCCCATTAGCGGTCCGGGTTTCCACCAGCTTCCATGAGGGACAACGAGCGTACCGTTTTGTAGGTCTCGGGCGAGCTCTTGGAAACGAGCTGGTTGCCCTCGAGGTACGTGTTGTGGCTGCTACTGATAAAGTAGTTTGTGATGGGGCGGCCCAAGTCTTTGTCCTCGCGCTTGAGAGGACGGACCGCATCCCAACCGTAAAGCCCCCACCACGTCTCGAGAAATTCGCCCAAAGTATATCTCTCTTTCTCTTCGGGTAGAACATCCTCGACATTGGTCTCGCCCTGGGTATTCTCGAGGAATGCAAGCAGCTGTCCGCGGGTCACGAAGGGTTCGCGGGACAACGAGGAGCGGCGCGAGCGTAGTTCGTCAAAGATCTTCTTGAGCCGGTTTCGGATGGTGAGATTGAGCGGGATCTCGTCGGCGGTAGAAGCGACGGAGGTGTCTTTCGGGTCGCAGGTGACGGCAGAGGAAGAGGACGGGTCGGTTGCGCCGTCGACGTCTGTGATGTTGATCATGGGCATCGGCCGAGAGGGTTTGAAGTGGAAACCACCGTGGGTAGGTGCTAGGATTGTGGTGAGGCCAACCATTTTCTTGAGGGTGTTGGAGGAGGTCTTGTTGGACGAAGACCACAGGGGCATCGTTAGGGTCCGTTTCCTCCTGGTCTGGTCGCCATTTGGGGCCTTGCGGCGCCAGAACTGGAACATTTGTTAGGTTTCTGAAGTACGGGCGTTACATGGGAGCGAGATAGCTGAGTGGTGAGAATTGTAGAGGGGAGGCATCGAATGCTGCAGGCCGAAGGAGTTCGGAGCCTTGCATCAAGCATCGTCCCCCTCCTCCCCCTCTCTAAGCACGGGATTCGATGGACGACGTACAGAGAGACACATGTTGAGACGCGTGCACCGACCGAGAAGCCTGCCTCCTGATCTCAGCCTCTGTTCAATACCTTGGTGTGCCGATTGACCAGGTTGGGTGTCTAGTTTGGTCGATTGACGGAGGGAGGGGGTGGCTCACTGGCCGGTAGCCGTAGCCTGGTCTAGTGCTGATCCTAATGCTAAGAGACAGAGGTGCACGGCTTCGCAGCGTCGGGAATAGGGTCATCCGCCCATTGGAAAGAAGGGCATTTGACTACAAAGGAGCGAAGGTGGAAGAAGACGGGATCCAAGGTAGGAAACAGCAGCTAGTTAGCTAGCTGCAAGGGCGACGTGTGGAGGATTGAGGACGAAGACATTCCAAGAGGGCCAGTCAGCAAAAAATGGGTGATTTCATAGAGTGGGAGGCGTAGATATGCATGTCAGCATAGCTGATGACATGGGTGAGTGTCTCAACGGCAAGGAACAGCAAGCTAGGCACCATTCACAGGGCAGTTGGGACAGGGATTCGGACCATCGGGGCAGTGCTGTGCCCTCTCCCATTGGCTGTCCTCATCGAAGGGTACACCCATCGGACGAGGCTGTCCCCGCCAATCTCAGGCCCGGTCTACTGGATACGGATGAATTATTCACTGAATAATCACCCAACCGAGTATGGCAACAAGATGCACGGAAACGGGAACGGGAACGGGAACGGTCTCAACGGCCTCGATCATTTGCATCTGCCTGTCTTGTTTATTTCGTCATTTTTTTCTCTCTCCTTTTGAATGCCTCGGTGCCTGAACCGGCCTGTCCGCCCTCGGCCTCCTCCCTTGACTTTGAGAGTCGATGTTCGGTGACCGGGGGGCGCATGCCGGGTGTCATCTTAGGCATCCGTTGACGGGATGAATGCTTACAGTCAATGCCGTGGATGGGAAACGAACGAATGGGTGGGTGCTGTTTCGGGGGCGGAGTCTGCGTGCCCTGGCTGCCTGTTCTGTCGCCTGCCTCTGGCGGAAGCGAGCTGATTTCAGCCCCCACTGCCTGATTCTGCCCTGTCGTTTCTGGCTGGTCTGGTCTCAGGGAGAGGGGGGGGGGGGGGGGGGGGGGCTCGTCCAGAAGCAATTGGATAACAAACAGCAACATCAACAACATCAACAGCCAGCAAGCGTCGTCTATCCCGTAGGGGATGGCACGCGTGCAGGTGCAAAAGCGCGCATCGGTATATTTGTGCTCTGCCAGCTTGCCCCGCGAGGGCCGTCGCCTTGTCAGCTTGTCCACGATTGCAGGGCAGAATTTTAACCCGTCATCGGTGACACAGTTGATGTCTCGATGGATGGTAAAGGCACATCCGCCAGGCTTGCCCCTCGTTCAATGTCGCGAGGTCTCGAGAGCCGTCATCTGGGCTAAACATAGCATTCCGTCCGGGTAGAGTGGGCATATGACGGGGTGGGAAAACGTCAGTGTTGCTCGCCGCTTCGTATGGGGAGGACGATCCCCATTAAACGGTGATATCATGGTCATGCTAAGGTTGAGGGACTGCTACACTGACCCAGTCCTCCGGACGGCAGTACGAAGGAATGCTACGTTGGTTATCCGCAGGAGGTGGTGAGGGAATGAAGCGAAAATAAAAATTGTGGGAAAGGACGAACAGGACCTGCTACGTTCATTCCATTCCCACTTGGACAAGTCTCCACTAAAAGCGTCTGCCCGTATCCGTCTGCCCGCCGAGTGTCTCTCCCGTGGGTTTCCCAATACTGAACCCCTTCCGTCTTCAGCGCGTGCTGTGTGGGTTTCTGGCTCGGCGGCCCCTTCTGCTGCGCCTCCCGAGTCGCCACAACGGCTCCGAGGTGGGCACCCGGGGGAAGGAAGGGAGGAGCTTGAACACTCGAGCCTGCGGCGCTGCAAGTCGCTTGCGTTCAGCATCAACACCACATCGGTAAACTCCCATCTTTTCTTCAGATCAGTGCTGTACACATATACCTACCCCAACCTCGTTTTGTGTCACAACAGCCGGCTGGCTGTAACCCTCGGACCTTGATTCGAAGTAGCACACCCCACCCCCTGCCGCGCAGCTCGGGACTTGATATCTATATCGCAACCGTGACGTAACCCGGAAATCAGCTTCAAGTCCTCCGCAAAGTCGACCGCCCTCGACAAACATCACAGGACCGCCTTGGACACGCATCTCAGTCAGCTCCGTCGCCATGCCTCAGAGGGATATATCACAGCGAGACAGCGAGGCCGAGGTCAAATCATGGGGGTTTCCCCACGTCTTCACCTGGACCGATGGGCCGTACGTGATATTTGCCTACCACACTCCTCTCGCCCTCAAGCTGCTGCACGAACTGACGCTCAGGACTCAGGAATGCCCACTACCCCCCGCATTCGCACCACGGTCTGACAACCCATCTCATTCTCCGCGGCAGCCTGACCATTACGTACCCCAAGGACGAGACCCCTCAGAAGGTTACCTATGCCGTCGGCGACCGCGTCGGTGTCGATGCCGGTCGCGTACATGAGGTCTGGGTTGGCGACGAGGGCTGCACCTATGTCATTGGAGAGTAGCATAGACGGATGAGTGTATGCTATACGTCTTTGGATGATTCAGTGGACAATGGCAGCTTTCCCGCTGGGCGACTTGGATACCGAGTGGCGGTTTGATTCCGTTCTTCTCTGGTGTGCAATGCCGGCCTTCTTCACTTTGAGCCTGAAGCCCGGCTTGAAATCAAGGCAAATCCTGACCTGGCCAATCCGCCCTCGCGATTGAAATGACGAGGCTGTCCCGGAGAGGCCGCCGACTGTTGGCCGAGTCGAGGAATCATGACTGCCAGCGTTCAACCATGTACAGTACCTCAGGCCCAGCTTTGAGTTATGCGACGTGGCGAAAGTCCTGGAACAGCCATAGACACCCACAAAGCTGTAAACGTGGCCAGGTCGAACTCTGCCCGGAACCAATGCGTGCCCTAAATAGAAGCCTTGTGTGTGTGTGTGTGCTGACTTGGACCTCCGAACGCCCGACCAAAGCTTTGGTCCCCTTTTTTTAAAAAAGGAAAACGGAAGAAGAAAAAAAAGTCTCCATGTACTGACCGGACAAGCCCGTCAGGCCTGCTGACGACAAGAGTTGTCCCGCATTGTCGGCGCGCTTTCGCCTCCTGTCGTTGCTGCTCAACCCAAAAGTTAGGCCGGAACCGCTGCGCCGAAGGGTTAAGAAGAATCTCGCTCAGGTGTATCCGATGCACGCGTTCGGTCACCTTGTGAACAAGCGCATGCTCTTGTGGAACCGCCGCGAAAGGCAGGCCCGGGATTTTGCTTCTTAAACTCGAGTAATCGGCTCTACGGCCGCGTTGAGAGGGACAGCACACAGCTCGCGCAGTTACACAAATGCTTGTCAAGACAAAAACCGCGCTCCGGTCGTGAAAGAAACAGATTTGAAACGAAAAGGAATCCTTCACTTGTGCGGCCTTAACGCCCCAACCCGACTCATCAGGGAGCAATGGCGATCAAAACGTTCCGGAAGGCCCATGGAACGCCGGTTTACCCGAAGTTTTGAGCACGATGCGGTATCGTCTGTTCTGTGCAGTCTGACTCGAAGTCCTCACGGGCCAGTGCGTGTCGCCATGGCTTTGCTTACGGCGGGCACCGTTCATTCTCGGAGTGGCGCTGCCTCCAGATATCCGAGGAGCGGTTGCCAGACAGCCTTGGCTACCAAGAGTTCCCGGTTGACTGTATCATCCAACGTCATCCAAATTCCTTACTATGCTGGGCCGCACAATCCGTGGTGTTTGCGATGGATAGTATCTGTCTGCATGGGCGCAAAAGATCATATCTCTCTCTCTCGCCCCTCGGATAGCGTATGGCCTGCCTGGAGCCTCCAGTGCAGCATGCACATTTCTGCGAATTGCGTTCGCTTGGGCACCGATTACCGTCCGTTTTTTCACCGTCTCATACTTGGCTCTGCGGCGGCTGCCAGCAACTTCTGCGACGCATCGTGTCTGGCTTATTAGAGCTTGGTTTGGACGACGGCCCTAGAGACTCTAGCAGCCTTGAGTCATTTCCTGACCAATCACAGGCCTTGACTCGAGACGGCGTCCATGGGCGTACGCAGTAAGCTTGTCTGCGCAAGAACATTTGGAGCCATTCATGTCGCTCCCTAGAGGATCGTTGTGTACCTGTGCGACCCTAAGAGGGACCGCCTTGATTACGTACTTAATGCCGCTCCGAGATTGAGTGTGAGAAGGTTGTAAGTCATGATCGACACAGCATCGAGAAAAAACATGCGATGAGTCGTAGACAGCCACAGCATTTTCTTGTACCAACAACCGGCGTATGTCGTGCATCGACAAACCGCAAGAATAAAAAAACAGCCCTGGCAAGAGGTAGGAGGGGCGCTGATCAAGCAATCCTGCTCCGACAGCAGCCGTCGACGGCGTAAACACGTTGGGTTGCATGATCGTCGGGCCTTAAAATATGGAGCTCTGTCGCGCACCTGTGCCGAAACCAGGAGATGTCCCGATGATGCTCCGAACAGAAACGGATTCGGTGCTTTGCTTGATCGTCGCTGTGGCTCCGACTCGGCATGATACGACGGACGCTGGCCGACGTCGCGGTGCAGTAACGCGGCATGTTTGAAGAAACACAGTCGGGGTCCATCGACCAAGCTGAGTAAGTGGACGGGGGGTAGTCCGCCCATCCTTGATGATGATAATTTTTGTGCATACATCCTCGTCAAAGATGAGTAGGGCGGCTTCAGCAGGCGAGGATGATGCCGAGAAACGCTGCCAGCGAACACTGCATTCCGTGTGGCCATCGTTCTCGTAGCTTGGTGGGTGTGCATGATCCTTGGGAGTGGCTGTCTGCAACTTCGGCCAAACGAAAACCTCAATAGCGCCAGGCATACTGGCAGCTCATACTAAGTCCGGATGCCCAGCTCTCGGCGGGCGAAACAGCATGGACATCGGGCCATGATCTTAAGGGCGAAAGCGGTAGCTCAGCTCAGTGCGGCACAGTGTCTCTCCTGGACAATGTCTGAGACCAGGCAGAAAAGTTGGAAAGGCTGGAAGAAACGCACGCGTTTTGGTGATCGCAACCGTGCGATACTGCTAGGGGGTTTCCCTGCGAGCGAGACCCGTCACATTTGCTGTCAATCCGGTCGCTTGGATAATAATCCACCCGCTTTGTCAAGCTGTGCGAGTGTGCAGTCCGAGGATGGGAAATGCCGACGATGGCCCGTTGTCTGCGTCCCCAAAGGAAACATCTGCAACCCGCCTGGCAGGTCTTTGAATTGCGAAAACATGACGTTTCCCAAACGTGGCTTGCAGAATGTCCTTCTCCCGCTTGGTGTGGGGGCGACACCAAACCGGATCTTTGGAGTATGAGCGCTGAGTGATGAAAACCCGGGGCCGATGTTCTTTGTATTACCGCTTGTTCGTTCCACCCTTCCATCATAACTTGCACTTGGATGGATAATTAGATGCGGAGGTGGCCTGAGGAAAGGCGGAAGAGCAATTTCACATCCCCCCCTGAACCATGTTCGCCGGGAAAATTGCGCTAATTATGGTGTGAAGGGATTCCCCGTTGCGGCATCAGGGTCAGGATGAGGTTATCTCAGGGCGAGGAGCTAATAGTCAGTACGTGGCACAGCGATCAAATGGTCATTGTCTCAGTCTCTACTAGCGGTACCCAATGACATGCGTGCCACGCTGCTCTCAGGAGTAGTGTGTGTACCGAGGGAGGGAAGAGACCGACAGCTACCACTGTAGCGCGGCGGCCAAACAAGGTGTTTGTGTTTCGATGCTCGACCATTGTCCGAACGGCAGCACCAAAAATTAGATATTTAGTAGCATCATACGTAATATAAGTCTGTCTGATACTGTACACTTAATAGTGTAGATACCGACAACGACAAGGATGAGTGATGAACCAACAACAGGTACTGGTGTGTGGGCGGTCTCGGGTTATTTTGTCTGACGTTAAAAGAGTGGCTGCTGGCGGCCGAAGATCGACGACGGGCATCCCTTTGCATGTACGAACTGCGTCGGGGCCGATGATGGTTGGCTGCTAGCCTGGACCAAGCATGTTGCCTGAGCCTGTTGGTTGGCGGAGTGTGGTACGATTAGTGATGAGGATGCTGGTCTCACCGAGTTCTGAGAGTCAAGTGGCACAATCTGAAACGAGTACCTTGGTTATCTTTTTGTCGTTCGTTCGCGGACAGCATCAGCCTGAGCTGCAGACAAGAAGGAATGCCACTCTGCATGCACTAGCGCTGGTTAAAGAGGCGCGGCGGTTAAGACGGAAGCGCATGGCGGCGGGAGAGACATTTCGGACCGCGGCCGAGACGGGGCTGCACTACACTAGTAGAGCTGGATCAACGCCTGATTTTTCCACGGACACGCAATGGAATGTCAAATGCACTTACTCGGTGGCGCGTTAGTCGAAAGTAAACTAGCGATCCATGCTGGAGGGCAGGCACCTGGACCTTGTCAAAGAGGGAGGTTGGCGCCGCGCAAGCCCGTCTGGAAAAGAGGCCATGAGGGGAGGGGAAGGATGAATGACGGATCCGTCATTTGGCAAGATCTGGTACGGATGTGAACCAAGGCAGGGACAAGGACGCTCGCTAGCTGGCTAGCCAAGACGAACAGGGAGGGATAGGGAGGAGACGAGCTCCAGGTTCAATGGCACCTCGCCAACGTTGAAATGAGGGAAGAGAAGTGACAACAATGAACGGGACAAACAGGAGCACGAGGCAGGCAGGCAGGTTAGCTTAGGTTAGGTTCGGTTGCAACGTGGTGGTTGCTCGCCCCGATCGGTGTAATTAGTGTAGTGTAAACTCAGGTCGGTAAGGTAAGGTACGTACAGAATCTATTTGTTCGTACCTGCCTCACCTCGCCTCGCCTCGCCTCGCCTCAGAACTTTCTCTCAAGGTGGGGCACTCCTGCTCCTTCCCGATCCCGATCCTTGGAGAAAGACTGGAAGCACCAATGTGTCCCTCAATAGGAGGTACGGATAACCTACCTACCTAGGTGCCTTGATTTGGATTTAACTACTCCGTATACCTGCCTCTGCTACCTATAGTACGGGATACCCTGCCTCTAACTTCCATACCTACCTACCTCCTAAACTACCTACCTAGGTACCGGTACCTTGGTGGGTACCTACCTAAGGTACCTACCTATGTACGTACCTACCTACCTCACATACAATACAGTAAGAGCGACGGGGCTTCGCGACGCTCCTACTTCCTACTTACAAGTACTGCCGCCGTCACCATGCGCATCTACCTACCTCTCAACATCCCGTGCCTGTCGATACAAATGGCGCGTGCGTCATATGTATCTTAGAATCAACCTCGACGACGGCTCTCAGTCATTTGACAGACGGACGGCTTGAGCCACGGCCCAAGACGTCCCCCCCCCCATTTCCCCATGCAAGCGGACAGGATCCAAAAGGGAACCTGCTATGGAGTTGGAATACACACACTTCCCCGGCGATACACTACACATGACCGAGTACCTGAAATGCATGGTTCCACAGCTAAGGAAAAGAACCGAGAGTGAAGTCGGGGTCGATCTGGTTCAAGGATTCAGAGCCTTGAGAAGGACTCACCTCACTTCGGCTTTCGTTTACGTCCGTTGGCTATGGCCCCTGCTCCGATCAGCTCCTCCGGCAGAGTGTCGATACTCTCTCTCTCTCCCCCTCCTGCCGCCTCCCTATATCTGAGATGCCCCGCTCTGGCACATCAAAGACATCGAATGGATCACTCTCTGCAGAGTTTGTTGACCAACCGCATCGTGGCTGCATTGCTCGTCCTGGACGTTCCTAATCAAGCTCCACTCGGCAGCCACAAGCTTCGGTCCTGGCGAGCCCGGTCGACCTGTCCGTGTCAGGTCATACCAGGCCAGCAGATAAGTTATCCGGAGGGGCTCCAAGAGGGGCAAAATCCGCGCACAACCAGCTGCATCGGCCGGCCAGAGGACGCAGAAGCCTCTCCGAAGCCAAACCACTTCACGGACCGGTCTAGACAGCCGTGGCTGGCTCCAGACCCCACCAACAGGCTCTGCTGCTCCAGGTCATCATCATCGACCAAGTAGTAGTCGCAGTAGTAGTGCCAGGTAGTGTGAATACAGAGTAGTAACGTATTTCGTAGGTGGTAGTGTAAAGAGCTGCCGGCTGCACAAAAATCAGGAATTATGGACACACTACTGTGAAAGAGGCTGGCGGAGCGTTTCGCCAGGACAATACGACACTACACGTGTAAAGGTACCTACCTGTATCCATTCGTAGGACAAGGGCCGTCTCGAGTGCCTCCCTAGTCTCTGCCAAGGTTCCGATAATCACTCCCGACCAGGCCGCAAAATGGCATCCATCAGACGAAATACCATATCTAACCCGCATCCCGTCCAGTCGTCCATCCATCACCACCCATCCATCCGTAAAAAGAACCGTTGCCGGCACTGTCTGCACTGTCGTAGGTGTCCTGACCAGCATGCTGCGCAGAGTACACGGTACCCAGGTCGTCGTCTCCTCCCCCTCTTTACCTTTGACCTTGACCTTCATCTTACCTCACCCGTCTCGTCTCGTCTCGTCCGTCTTTGTGTCTCGCCTCCGCCTTTGCTGGGGACTCGATGCAAGTTGATGCCGCTACACCCTTACGGATCCTCGTCCACACACACCAACCTTACACTACAGTACCTGGTGGCTCTCTGATCTCTCCTCTCTTTCTCATCCATCATCCACCAAAGTACGTATCCAAGGCGTATGCCACTGCAGCCCTGCATGGGCCAACAGCGACGCCTGTCTTGGAACTTGGAATAGCCCCGCCCATTCGCTGCCGCAGGCGGTACTTTGTCCCTTTTCCGCTATACCCCAACCCACCTTGCGCGTCTCAAACCATGTACGTCGTCACCGTCAGTTCCACCTCCTGGTTTCCTGTTGGTCTTCTCTGTCTGTCTGTCCGTCTTCCTTCCAGATGCCATCTGAGGCCCATTCCTGCATCTTCCATCCGTCCAATCCTCTCAGACAGATACCTGTTCCCGCATGCAAGGCCTGGCAAACCTGCACAACTCGCCACTGATCCCGGCGACTGACTCTTGGAAGCCCGGGCATTACATTCCCTTGGGTGGAGTTGACGAAATCGATAGACGCTCGCTGGTGCGTAAATGCTCGGGCCTGTACCGCCTATGCTTTTAATTACGCCTATCTCTCCACCTCTTACCACTACAATCATTCTCCCTTCGTGCTGGTCTCCGCTGGTGATCTATTAGACCCCTCCAACACCCCCTTTCCCTTCATCTTATCATTGATCGCGTCGGGCCCTGTTCTGCCTTTAACCACTTCTTTTTGGTTCTCATTTTATCTTCAGCAGGCACAGGTCACAGCCGGTCCACACACACACACATAAATACACGTCAGGTCATTCCGCCGACCCTCACCGCAACAGAGGATCGTAATAATATAATCAACCACACCAAGATCCGGACACACGACGATACGCTGAGAACATTTCGCGCGGCATGGCAGCTTCAACCTCATTCTCGTAACAAACGTTTTCTCTCGGCTGGCCGCGACCTTTAGCCCCGCCATCCGTTTTTATCTTCCGAGTCGCCCGAATTGCATTGTGTGTGTGTGTATGCGTGTGTGAGCGTGCCACGCGCTGTAACATCTTCCACGATCAGGGCGCAGCAACAAGGCACTATCGGGCCCGGCTCTGTGACAAAATGGGCAACACACATTCGATCGTGTCACCACACTACGAAGAGGACCATGTCGAAAGCAACAACAGGAGATCGCCTCACAAGTTGTCGAAACCGAGAGTTGGTAACCATGGCCGTTCTGGATCCTCCAGTCTTCCACCCTCCCGATCCAACTCGCAGGCCTTCCGAGCGCACTCGCCAGCGCCATCACCGGTGCAGGCGTTGAGCGAGTCGCAAGCCAGTGCACCTGCCGCAGCTGAAGAGCCTTCTCCTGCCGCCAAGCCTGAGCCAAGACCAACGAAGAACTGGAAGAGGAGGGCCAGTCTGTTTCGATCCAAGAGTTCTCAGGAACCAAGAACCGAAAGGCGCAGACACTCTGTAACAACGAGTCCTCCGCTCCCGGACAGGATGTCGAGGGCCAACTCCATGACTTGGGAAACCCAGCAAGATATGAATACTTCGAGGCAATTGCAAGTAGAAAGGTACAGTGTATTCTTGAGGACTTAAATCTGTGTGGTGCGACAGCTGACTCCTGACGATACAGTTGGCACATACCTGGAAACAGGCAATCCATCAACTATAACCTGATGTCGTACGAGTCGAGAAGGCTTCTTAATCTGACCGAGGATCTTACAGCCTGCGAGGAAGGCTCCATCATGTCCGAAAGCAAGTTCGAGGTATCGCCCAGTACGTGGAAGAGCTCTCATCCAACCCAGCCAGCCATCCCCAAGCTTCCGCGAGCCGATTCCGAGGTATCGCTCTACGCGCCAGTGCGGCGGCGTTCAATAATACAGACGCCAGGCCTTGCAACACGCTTACCGACGGACTATTCTGCGTCGAGGAGGTCGAGCTTGCGCCACAGTGTTGCGACCACGCCAGCGTGTGGGCATTCGCGACTCAACTCGATCGAATCGAGTACCTATCCCACACTACAACGCTTAACCGACTCTTTGACCGACTTTTTCTCCGAACCCGATTACATGCCTGCCCCATCAACAGAGCCGATTGAAAGGGCATTGACTCCTTCGGACATGGACTATCGGCCGCTCGGTACAATGAAGTTCGGGTCGCTGCGTATCACGAACGGAGCTGCCAGTCCCCTACCAAGTCCGGATTTGGAGCCCGAAGCCAAGGCTGAGGTGACGGAGAAGTTGAACGACGGAAAGGAAGAGCACTTCATTCGGGATGTTGAGCTGGGCGGGTCGCGTTCCGACGACAAGGATGTCGAGATGTCGGTGTCGGCAGTCCACGCGAGCACTGCTCTCAGTCCCATTAATACGTCTTTCCTTAGGATGGGGTCACGGAGCCAACGCCCCAATTCGTTAGTAGTCTCCCTTGCCAATTCGTGCAGAAGACGCCATTTTATGTAAGGCACGGTGAGACGGCTTATGCTGACTCCCTTTAGACCGCTGAGTCCCGAGTTACAAACCACTTCCAAGCACACTGCTCTGGAAGACGAGCTTTTCGAAGACGATGATGTGCAACTGGAGTACTCCGCCGAAGTTCTGACTGTCAGGAACGACCCGAATGCGAAACCCAGTTTGGAGCGGCTGCGCTCTGAACAATCCAAGAGGACTTCCCAGGCAATTGTCCGCACTGATAGCGGGGTTGTTGCCAGCCCAACCATTGAGCAGCCGAAACTGCTCTCTAAGGCGGATTCCGGCTATAGCTCGAATGTCTCGCTTAGGTCATTCCATGCCAAGCAGTCTGCTGCGAAGGGCGGCCAGCGTCGCTGTGCCGCATCCGACGATTCGGGTGACGAACAGTCGGAGGGCGCCGTATCCCCGACTGCTGCTGTCGCCAACAAAAGCCCAACCGCTGGCCCTTCCAACGCCGACGATGGACTTGCTACTGGCCACACGCAACCGTCATCCTCTACTTCTCCATCTCCGCAGCCCAATGGCGATTTTGTTATTCCTCCCAAAAGCCCCACCGCCTCGTCGCCCAAGTTCTTCTTCAACCTCAATACCGGCCATTCTTTCCGCAAAGATCGAAAGGGTCCTGTGACAATTGACAGCGCCAAACCGGCCAAGGAGGGGCCTACGTCGCCTCAGTCCATCCCCTCGGGCGACGCTAGCCCCGACAAACCGACCTCCGTTTTGAGCATCGGAACCGGCTCGCAACGCGTAGGCAAGTTCCAAAGGTTCATGAATGGGTCCAGCCTGCGAGGGCCGCCTGCCGTCCACACGACGCACCCTTCTGACAAGCCGGTGCCCTCTGTGCCCCAGGACGTGCAGGTGAAACTCGGCCAACACTCTGAGCGGTTCCCAACAGCGACCACACGATTGACTCTCCGCCCTCAGGCCAGCAAAGACACGCTCAACACCATCATGAGTGTCGGCAGTGTTTTCCCCGGTCACGCTGATGCCAACCAAGGGCCTCTGCTTCCGGCTGATGTCAGTCAGGTGACCAAGGATCCTGTTGCTGAAACACCTAAGCCTCTCCAGAATCCCAAGTCGCCCATGCGCCGATCTTTTCAGTCGGTGCCAGCCTCCATCGCTCACGCTGCAGTCTCTGTATTGCCTCGGCTTCCCATCATTCGCAAACCGCTTCCTCGCACTCCCAAGGCCGGAAAGGAGTTCACTGGAGAGGCGAATGCAGATGAGATTCAGGTCGGTTTTGAGTCAGATAACACTGCCATGGGCAATGTTGGCGATAGTGACGGTAATGGTGCTTTCTATCAGGCCTTCCTGGCGCTGCCTAGTCAGCAACCGGCCCATTCATCGCGCGAACGGACCATGACACTGACGGCGGAAATGGAGCGCGGAATGAGAAGGTCATTCTATCCCGCTGAACCGACGTCTCCAACCCCACAACAGCCCGTTTTGCGTGCCCCGCGACACTCGCAAGTTTTGGATGTGACGGCCAAGAGGAGGTCATCGCCGCCGATCAGTCTCCATACCCGGAACAGCAAGAATACCCGAAAGCAGGCCCCGCGGCCCAAGTCTGCGCACTCCAGCCAAATGACTCCGTTGACGAGAAGGCCGGCCTTTCCTCAAGAGGTCAGTCACGAAATCATTCACAGCTACCCATCGACATCGGCGGCAGCGCTGGACGATGCGCTCTCTGCACCACCGATTCCCCCGATGAGCCCTCGAAGAGGCATGGCGATGCTCGAGCAACGGTACGCTATGCGTCACATGAGCGTCGAGAACAAGTGGCGTCCAACCAATGGCTGGAGTGCCGATTGTAGCCAAGGCGTTCGCCCGGTCACGCAGGAGTCGGCTACATCAGCTGGGCACCAATCGCAGCAGCAGCCGCCGCCGCAACAGCTGCTTCGTCATCGGTCAAGTTATGACAGCTACAGCCAGCACCGTGGGCCTGTGGCTCGGGGGCCCGCTGCTGCTCCTCAGGGCGACGGGTACTACCAGCAGCAACTTATGGAGATTCAACAACAGCAATGGCAGCAGCAGAGACGCAACTCTTCCGACGCTGTTCAACCGGGTCTCTCTCGGGGCCACATCCGCAGCCGGAGTATGCATGCCAACGGCCACCCGCCTTTTCGCGTACTGCACAGTTACAACTCGCCTGCCTACCGCAACGTCCCCATCTGGGGTTGAGCGGTCTACAGCATGCAGGCAGTAACTATCTTTCCATTGTTCGTGACGGCCAGCTCTATTACGTGGAATATCCTCAGGAAAGAGAATCATTTGTAGCGACAAGCGAGCCTGCACCACTCGGCGTTACCCTGCGCCTTTTCTGTTGATATTTCCTCTGTACGATTTCTCCGGCATACACAACCGACGTTCGGACCACAGCTCTGACGTCTTAGCATGGGCTTGCGACCACCTGTTGAATGGCCGACGGGTTTTTCTTTCTTTTCTCTTTTGTTTCATTTTTCACTTTCCCCTCTGCTCGCATAGCATACACACAACGCAAATCATGGATATACCCTTTGGGAAGAGAAGGGGGCCTAACGAAATACGGATATATCGGCCAATGACTTTTTTTTTTTTTTTTTTTTTGAATACCCACCACTAAACAAGGAAAAGCAGGTGATGGGCGGCATCACAGTACACGACATGACTTTTATCGGTTCGAGTTTTAGGTATCGGGGAAATTGGGAGTTCTTTATTTATTACGGAATACCCTTGAGAATGGTCATGGTCTTTGGGTATCTTTTTTGTAACAGGTTTGGGTCGAAAGGGTAACGGTCTAGGTAGAGATAGGTACGAAATAAGGGAATCTACCGGCAAAATGGGCCAACCCGGAGCTGCTTACGGTCTCGCGAAAGATTGCAGGACGGCCACGATTTTGGCACGGCCGCTTTTAGACGAATACAATAATATTCGCCACTCATCCTGGAGTTTCCACCTCCTGTAATTATCGTACGTGAAGAATGTGACACCCCGCCGTTGCTGATCACACATCCTCACCTTGCTCGGGAGCGGGTTTCCCGGTCATAACGTTCGTGGCCCTCTGTCCACTCGAAGATGCAGCAAGGCACATGCTTGTTCCACCCCATGAGTCGTATTCACCGGTAACCCCAGGCTGATCTGGACCCGAAGATACGGAACGCGTTGCGGGCCCCCGCCGGCGGCAGTCCGCCGTCCGGAAGCGCACGAGACCATCGCCGCCGCGACAGCTGACTACGCGCTCGGGCTGGGGTCGCTCCCTGGATCTTTTGCGGCTGCAGCGGCTGCAGCGGCTGCCATCGCGGTCCCCACGTGAACCCGGCGCTCTGCCTCAGCCAGTCGCCGCTCAAAGAGCAAGACACCTTGTCGTTCAATAGTCTACGGTCGTAAAAGTACTCGGTCCAGACTTTAGGTCATCCTGGTGGGGCCGAATAATCGGTGGGGCCAGAGATAGGGTGGCGTCGGATGTTCCCGCTTGCATTTAGCCACGTATGGAGTAGCGGCAGCGATATGTTTTTTCCTTTTCTTTAATCAGGTAGATAACGATCGATTCGCGAAACAAATCGATGACATTCTTTTCTGTTTCTTTTTAACTTTCTTTTTTCTTTTCTCTTTTTTCCATTTCACGGTACGAATACGAATTGGGAAATCAAAAATGTAGGTGTGAGGATGGAGTCCCATGCGGTATAATCTAATGTCTGCCAGGGTAGGCGTTGTCGGGAACAGGGGCTGCACAGTAAACAAGTTAAGGTGGTTATCGAGGTTCCTTGCACAGTATCCGTACAGCTAACTATGAATACCTGGCGCATCAGGATAAATTCCTGACGCGTCACGTCCATTCTCCAAGCCATCAAAAAAAAAATTTGTGCAAACGTTGATGATCTCATTCCAGCTGTTCCGCATCCTTTGTGAGGCACAATATCTGCTGGAAGGCCAGAAGCCGGAATGGACACCGATAAGATGGAAATGGCAACTGCCCCTTCTGCCGAGCCCTCACGGAATCCTCAGGAGGCAACTGCACCCGCGATTGGTATTGAGTCTGAGGGCATCACGACTAAAGTACCAGCAATTGAGGCACCTGCCACCGGGCCCACCCGAGATGCTAATTTGGCCAACCTTGCGGAAGCTGCTCAGAGCTTCGGGACTTCCAAGCAACCTAACGGGAATCAACGAGCCGTCGAGAGTGACGACGACGATATAGCCTCCAATACTAGCAGCGCGTTAAGCACAGAGGCTTGGAGATCCGGGTCCTTCGAAAGCGACCTCCTGAATGCGCTGGATAACGTTCAGACGCAGGGCTCTTTCGCCTCATTTCACTCGCTGAAGCGCGTAGACCCGGACCTCTTCGTGCACGATGTCGGGCCAATCATTTTGCCGCTACAGGAACCACAGATCCGACATATCATCGAGAAGGCCATCCAGGCGCCCTTTGGTAAGGGGAGTCAGACCATCGTTGACACAAAGGTGCGAAACACGTGGGAGGTGGATCCGAAGCACTTTGAGTTGCGTAGCCCCCGCTGGGGAACCGACCTCCAGAGGATTTGTGCCATCGTCGCCGGCGACATGGGCATCAGGTCGTCGGTCACCGCGGAGCTGTACAGGCTGCTGGTTTACGAGAAAGGGGCCATGTTCAAGGCCCATACCGAGTACGTAGTGGGCAGATGCGCGGAACGGTGCACCGGCTGACTCTGTTTCACAGCTCCGAAAAGTGCCCCGGCATGTTCGGGACGCTTGTCATCTGTCTCCCCTCGCCGCACGAGGGAGGCGATGTGGTTGTGAAGCATGCCGGCCTGACGAAGACGTTCAAGACATCCAAGGTCGACCAGTCCTTTGCCTGCTGGTACTCCGACGTCCAGCATGAGGTTCTGCCTGTCACGCATGGCTACCGTGTCGTTCTCACGTACAACCTCACGATCGACCAGGCAGCTGAGCGGCCGTCCGCCGGGCTTTTGCGAAGCGAGACATGCATGCTGCGGCACACCCTGATGAGGTGGCTGTGCACCGGAGCTGGGAGTGAGGAGGTGAGCCATGTCTACTACGGCTTAGACCACGAGTATACGGAGGCGAACATCTCTTTGAAAGCTCTGAAGGGGCGAGATCTGGCCGTCGTACAGACTCTGCAGAAACTCGCGTCTGAGCTTGGGTTCGATGTGCTCCTGGCCCTGACGGAGAAGATGGAGATGGGTTCAGCAGAACCCCATGGCTACGATCCTCGCTATGACACTTATAAGCCCTCACGCCGTCAACTCGAAGAAGACGAGATGGCGCCTCATGAAATTGACGAAGTCTATGATGCGGAACTCACCGTCAAGGTGATCGTGGACCTAGACGGGCGTCCCATCATTCGCAATATAGCGCTGGAGCAGGATAGTTGTCTTCAAGCCGATGATTTCTTTGAAGGTGTTAGTCGAAAGGAGGAGTTTGAAGGGTTTACGGGTAATTCGGTGAGTTGCATTCGAATGACGCTAAACTTGCCGAGCATGCTGAGAAGTGAATCTTGAGGGAGCTACAGCTACCCACTGGTACTGTGTGACGGTAGGTATCCCCAAAGACTGTTTCCGGGACGCTTGGTTAATGACGAGCGCAGGCGGTACTGATCATCCGGCGCGATAAGACTAACCAGTTCCTCACCGAATCTATCGACACGGGCTCATATCATAGTGCCGCGAATATCAAACTCCTGCTGGCCTACCTCGCGGATTCGATACTGAAGGACGCGCGCAACAAGGAATCAGCTTTCAACACGCTCAAGGATGTTTGGACAAGGACCAGTGCCCTGACCGGAGTAGCCAGACCGGAAATGGACATCAATACCATCAGCAAAATGCTGCGAGCTGCCATTCGAATGGATCAGTGGGAGTTCTTTGAGAGCATGGCTGGAAACATTCGCGGTAACTTACCCTTTGAGTACTACATGTGGCTCCGTGAGCAGGTTAGCGAAGGCAAAGTACCATTTGACAAGCTCAAAACTGGGTACGTTCCGTCTATGCCTGCGGTGTGAGAGGGTCGTGCTAACCATGTATGCATTCGACAGCTTGGCCTTCAACGTTCTCGGAGGCAGACTTTTCTTCCACGTATGTACCGCCTTAGAACTGTTCGCTCCGGCTGATCAGCCATTGACCGAAGAGATTCGGCAATGGGTGCGAGAGACCCTCGTCAGAGGCCTGATAGCCTCTACTGAGTCTGCTTGTCTCACGTGCCATGATGGTACGTCGATAGTCTCAAGCGTGAAGAAGTATGCCTACTTCGACTGGCTTTCCTCTGTGTACGTACCGTGAGATTACTTGATCTTGACCTGGAGCTCACTCCTTCTACAGCGTCATGCCCCTCATCGAAGATCGGTTCATCACGCCGGCATTTACCACCGAGTTCTTGGCAACGTTGTTTAACTACGCCGTGAAAAATGATTTTCCAGCCAAGAAAGCATTGGAGCTGTACAAACGAGTTGCGAAAGGCTTTGTGGAAAACTTGGACTTTAGCAAGATCCACGGCACCCAGACTGAGGAGCAGATCCCAAAGGCACCAAGGCACAGCTATGGTCAAACGACGCCAGAGTCCAACATCGTTGCCTACAATCATCTAGCCGTGACTCCCGCCGCCCTAGCCAGTCTCTTCTACGGTCTCATAAAGGTGAGCAGACCACCACACGACGACCCGGTCATGCCGCTGGCCATAAAACTCGTCAGCTTCTCGCCGAAGATGCGGTCTGCCGACTTCGATCCACTATGGATTCCCTTCCTACAGGAACTCATAACCGTTCTCGAAAAACTAAAGATACCTTTCAACACACCACGCTACCAGCAAATATTTGGTGCCGTGCTTGAGTCCTACCGCGATAATTACATTGGCCAGAAGCCGATAACCCAGACTTCGGCGCTTCACGGTGGCATGCACGTCCACGCGCGGTCGTGCTGCGCCTGCCTCAATTGTCGTATACTAAACCGGTTCCTCGAGAACCCTGACGAATACGTCCGCCGGTTCTCCGTCAATAAGAAGACGCGGTATCATCTGCACCAGGAGATTGAGCGGAACGGCATACAGTGCTCACATGAGACCGAGCGCAATTGGCCGACAGAAACGCTGGTCGTCACGAAGCTGAGAGGAATGGAGGAGAGAAAGTACGCGGAAAGGCAGAAGCGGGCGGCCGAGAGATTCCAGGAGTTTGACCAGACGAAGCTGGGGCTGTTGCTCGGTGAGGACTATCC